ATGGTGCCTGGATCGGAAAGAGCTACTGCATTTATGATTGGTATGGTAGTTTACGGTTGGAAGCATGCACAGTGCCTTTCAGAAGTATTCATACACCTTAAACTTTTCATATTTTCAAAATATTCTGTCAGGATTTCACGTGATAGCAAGAACTTCATTCCACTTGTGATAGATCCAAGTCTTGAGGTTTATATCTGGCTTTATAGTGATATAAAATTAACCTCAAGACTTGGATTATGAAATAAGTGACTTCTGAAGGTAACTGTACAGAATTTTATTTAGAGAATTAAAAGTTTGTAGGAGTGGAAGTAAATTCTCCCAAGAGTTTACATTTTTGTATTTGTAAAGAATTTTAGAGTTGTGCTCTACTTTGTGGTAGTCTGTCATATGAACTCATCACATTAACATGGAAGCTTGTGGTTGTGGTTAAAGTTCAAGAGGTGTAAATACTTTTGTAAGGTACTGAAATGATCTGTGGTCACAGTGTAAAATCTCTATTTAATTGACTCTAAAATACATTTACTTTCTCAGTGTAACACACTAAAAATTGTATGCGTACATTTGTGCACCTGTAACAGGAGATGTAATGGGACCAACTCTAAACAACTTGGATAAACTGCTGAGGCTGCCCTTTGGCTGTGGAGAGCAGAACATGATTCACTTTGCGCCCAATGTTTTTGTTCTGAAGTACCTTCAGAAGACCGGGCAGCTGAGTCCTGAGGTTGAAAACGAAGCCACAGACTATCTGCTTCAAGGTAATGAAACTGGAGGCCAGGTTTTTCTCTTACATTCATATGTATTTCTACCTGTGTGGAGTAGGACCAAGTTACAGGTCCTGGCACAGGGTCACAGCATCAGTGGTCAGGCCAACATAAAGCTCTAAAGCAGTCCATCCTGACAAAAATAAAACCTTCACAAAAAAAAACTCTACAAGCCTACTTCAATTGATAGAGACCCTCCTAATAAAGTTGAGACCGTTTCCACTAAACAAAGCAGTTACAAAGAAATCTAAATCTAATTTACTAAGAATTAGTATGAAAATTATTAACACACACACAACTGACTACCAATGTATACAGACATATTAACCATGAAACAAAAAGCAAAAACAAAGGTTTCAGTTCACTTTGTCCCTCAGCTTCACCCAGTGGTCTAACCCAATAAGATGGATAATTAGATAAAATCTGCCATAATGTGTGCACTCCATGAAGCTAGCCCTCAGGAAGTTGCCCTCAAAGAAAAAGAAATTAGTTTTCAATGAAAGCATAACAATGCAAATTGTCTCTTGTCTATTAGTGAGGAAGATGCTTTGCAGCACCCTCACAACCTGAGTCAAACAGAAAATTCCTACCTTACCCTTGAAAAATTGCATTTTCTGCTTTCTTTTGCTTTTTTTTTACACTTTCTAAGTACCTCTTGACCGTTCAAGTTGGCAAGGAACTCAGTAAAACAAGGGGACAACAAGATAATCCACAATTTACCAAGTCTGTTATTTTCTATTCTGTAGTTTACCTTCATTCTAAGTGGATGATCTGCAAACAAGTTGCGAACACAAGTGTGTCTCAAAAATATAAATATTTTCAATATGTTCATGTCGGAAAGTGAAACTGTCAGGTCATCTACATTGTTGGGGCTGGTGTTGCGCATCTTCCTCTTGACAATATCCCATTGATTCTGTATGGGGTTCAGGTCAGGCCAGTTTGCTGACCAATCAAGAACAGGAACATCATGGTCACTGAACCAGCTTCCGCTACCTTTGCCAGTGTGGGTCGGTGCCACGTCCTGCCAGAAAATGGAATGACAATCTCCATAAGGCTCGCCAGCAGATGAAAGCATGAAGTGCTTTAAAAAAAAAATCATGGCAGACGGCTGTACTGAATGTGAAGTTCAGAAAACACGTTGGACCAAGATCAGCAGATGTCATTTCACCCAAACTTTCGGAATGTGAAAACTTCACATCTGAATTTTTCTTCTTGATGCTGGGAAATACAAATTTCACTTTCACCTGCAGCTGCTCTCAATTTATATATTTTCCCTTCCCCATCAACTCAGCAACCCACTGACCCAGACTGAGAAAACATTTGGAGGTTCAGAAAATATTTTCAAATATTTTGACTTAATTAGCTAATTAGGGTGTGACACCATGAGTCCCCACTATTTAATGTTTTCACAAATTTTCTCAGACACTAAAGTTTCCATAAGCTATTATTATCATCAAAATAACAAGACATAAAGGCTTGAGATATTTAATTCTGTGTGTAATGAATATATTTTATGAGTTTCACTTTCTGAAATGAGTGACCATGTTTCCATGAATAAACTTATGAAGACATAAACTTTCACATTTTGGATTGTAGATCAGAAATTGCATCACTAAGCCTTACTAACATTATTTCTTCTCTCTTTTTACATTTTCTTCTATTAATATGAAAAGTGGGTGCTTGGACAAGACTTATAATTATCAATGCCACACACTGGTCACTGTACTCATGAAAATAAGAGTATTCACAAATTCTGCATGGGAAACTCAGGGAGTTAATCATTCCAGATATTTCTCCTCTTCACAGCAAATCTGTTCTCTGTTGTCATCCAGGTTACCAGAGACAGCTGACCTATAAACGGCAGGATGGCTCGTACAGTGCGTTTGGTGAAAGGGATTCCTCCGGCAGTATGTGGTAAGCCATTGCAATTGTAGTAAATGAGTTTTACATCCATACACACGACGCGTGTCTAGTCGTTCAGAGTTTCCTGGAATAAAGGCATTTGGGAAGAGTGGAAAATTTATAATGCAAGAAATTAATAATTCAAAAATAACAAATTCTAATTTAGCATGCAGTTTTACTTATTTACATAACTATATACATACACTATGTGTAATATTTTATTTGCTAAATAAAATATTAAATTTATTAGAATGAAGTAGTTTTTATTTTTCATAGAGCCAGTTAGCTCTTAAACAGAAATGTATCCCGGCAGTGCGGAGTTCCTGTGCTTGTAATTTAAGGTCTCATTCTTAATGTTCATTCCTCCTGTTGATTTATGAGCTCCGGTGGGTATTGTGATGTTTAATAGAGCTAAGACTGTAAAACAGCAGGTTTTATAAACGACAGGCGATTGAAAACAAACATTATGATTGGCTCCCTGAGGCAGGTAAAATTTATTCTCATCAAAATTTACCTCTGCAGTTTTGACCCTGTAAACTCTAAATGCCATGATTGGAGTCAGTATTATATGTTGTCTGGAGCCTTTACCTTTTTTTTTTATTCCTTGTAAAGTTAAAGTTATGAATACTATCTAATGACTCATTATGCTTAGTGTAATTGGTGATATTAAACTGTTGTGGTAGGATTTAAATCTTCTTAATGAGAGCATGTGAGGATGTGACAAGCAGTAGTTTGGGGTTTTCTTGCAGTGCTTGGGGCAACAAATGTGGTTTGTGGGCACTAAATAAATAGTGAACTATGAGTAAACCTGCAACAGACACTTCATAAATCAATCAGCAACACATTTACCTCCAAAACAAACCGGCTTTTTGTTGATGTTCCAGAGTTCATGAGTGGAGCACTTCTTTAATTGCCTGCTGTAATGTTGTGTTAATATTTCCCAGCATTTAAAAAACATTTTACAGGGGAAATTGGTGGAATATAGTAATCTTGAATAAATGACAGCAGCTGGCAGTGAATTAGGGTGCAGTATTTACCATTTTCCATGCCAGGGCAGTTAAAAGTTCACAGAATTAATCTAAAGCTAAATGAGTGGCACTAGGAAGAGTCTTGCTTAGAAGTAAAAACTTAGTATTTTTGTAGGTTAACCAGAAGGATTGACTGCTTTTTGTTTGTTTTATGAATTGTGCCATACTTTAAGACTTAAATCTGTGGCATTCATCTTTTTTAAAAATGTGTTTTATTACAGATTTGCTGAAACTGTTACCATTTTGTATTTCACATAGCATAATGTGAAACAAATTATGGGAAAGGCAAAAAAGATCAAGCTGCTCCTCTTCCCAAATGTGGAAATGCATCGCTCACTGTCAAAAACAAACAGTCAACCTTTAATTTTTTATGTGTTAATGTTTACTTTTTTAGTTATTCTATTTTATTTGGCTAAAAATAAATTGAGACAAGATACTCTGTGTCTCTACAGTCTGAAATCACAGAAATGGATTCCCTACCTTATGCAAAAGCAGTATCAATTATTTAGTTTATGTTATTTAATTAATACACTTAACCGATTACGTATATCAGTAGTCAGACATTGCACTTCATAGGAAGGCCTGTTTTGTGTGTAAGTCTTATAATAATGCAAAAGACCTTGTAAAGACCTAAACTGAAGCTGGTGAGATGGTGCTATTATCCACACATTGGCTGAAAGTTCACTCAGAGAATAAGAAGCCACTGTCCTACAAAAGCAACATTGAAACTTAGATTAGAGTTTGCAAAATGCATTCAAGGCACAAAAATGTAAATTTTTGCAAAAACTGAAATATAACTGCTTAATGATCTTTGTTGAGTTTGGAGGAAAAAAGACGGGACGCTTCTAAACGTGGGAACGCCATCCTGGTTGTGGCGTATTAGATTTGCACATCCCACAAAACACATCATGTTTTGTGGGTATTTTTCTGCATGAAGGACTGCTGCATTTCACAAAGTAGATGAAAACAAGAGAGCATTACCAAGTAAAACACACACACACACACACATAAAGTTATGTACACTCTAAAAATTGGTTTTCAAGAAATATACTTTTGCAATAAATTATGTAAAGTCTCAAAAACAGTTGTTTTTTTTAATTAAGCTTTTCTTTATTTTTACAAGCTGGTGCTACCAGGAAATATGTGTTTGTCAATAGATCCCTTTAAGGCTAGGTGGCTAAATACCAGGTCAACACATTTTACTACTTAGTCCTTTATCTTTTTGATAGATAATGTTTTTCTATAAAGTAATCATCCAGAGAGAATCTGGACAGTTTTAAGTCCAAATCATAACATTCCTAGTAAAACCGCAGCCAAGTTAGATTTATTATGAAGCCTCTTTTAGATATACTCTCAGGGAGAGGAGCTGGAGAGGAGTGATTTCTAAGAAGGAAGTTAGAAAACAGGGAAGAGGAAGAAAATGACTAGGAGAATTCTCTAGCTTGGAGGTTGAGGGGCGGAAGTCAGCTTCCCTTGTGCTTCCTTCCTTTCCCAAAGCACTTCACATTTACACTCCAGAGCTTTTCCTTGAGGGTGAACATTTAAAGCCAGAACTGCGGCATCAGTTTTGTCTCAGGGGAGGAATAATCCAGCTTCCAGTCAGGAAAGATTTTATGTTTTTGGTTTATGAGTGTACGTACCATTCTTTTTTTTTCCTACCATTTCCCCTGTTGCTATTTTCTTGGATTATGATCTCACTTATGGGCCACATTAGGAAAGTAAAGTGTGACCTGTTTGTGTTTTCCTTCCTTTCCATCTCATTTTTCTTTCTTTGCTTCGTAAACAACTTACCTCACCTATAGTTACCTAACTATGGTCAGGGTTGCTGTAATGGAAGACTTGCTGTCACATCAGTTATTGGCCAAAGACAGCAGCTTCCACTCACTACCAGGAGGTCTATTGTTTATATATATTTATGATCTCAGCCATGAACCCAGGGCTGACCTGGCTGTACTCCATCGCTCCACAGACTCTTCTCCGCTGCAGACTCTTCACTGAAACCGTAGCTCATGAACCTTCATTTGCACTCCCGGGCCTTCCGGATTCACAAACCTTCATCCCTAGGATCTGTGCTTTCATAAGTTGAGGAATGCTTTTGGGGAATGTTTTACTCCCAACGAGAAACATGCTCGATTGGCTTGTGTGCAGTTTCACATTCTCAAGAGCACAGCTGTTGCATCCGGTTGCACTGATCAAACTGCCCATCTGCTCCCCTCGTCATTCCTTTCTTCTTCTTTCCATTTCATCAAATCATCTATACATTCCTGTCCTCTGATGACAAATTGAAAGCGGGTGGCTCTTTGAAAAATACTTTTAGATCGAGTTGTTGTCCTTTAAGGGGCGACGTGTATTTACAGATGTTTGTTAGAAAGTACTGTAAATGCTCATCAAGGATCTTCATTTTTTCCCTCTTCCCTGCTTTTTTATCTCCACTCACCTGTCTTCTAGGCTGACAGCGTTTGTTCTGAAGTCCTTTGCTCAGTCTCGGGGATTTATCTTCATTGACCCTGAAGAGCTCCAGGCAGCCAAGTCCTGGCTTATCAAACATCAGCGAGAAGATGGTTCCTTTCCTGCTATGGGACGCATCCTCAATAAAGACCTGCAGGTAGGTCTATGTTTGGATAGATGTAAATTTGAAGCAGTTTGCTGTTTTTCTACCTGCTAATTTAAATCTAAATCAGTAACGCAACAAAGAAAGCTGGCTGTTGTTTTGTCACATTTAAGACTTAATTAACCAAATCAGGCAATCCCTGTTTCTTTCCAGTACTGCCCATCTGGGTTTGTTTGCGAGTGTTCTGTCAAATGGTTTACTTTCCTAATGTGTAAGGAAATTGGATTCCACCCATGAAAAATATATCTGTCAATCCAAACATCTAATTCTGATGTGTTGTTTATTGGGCTGTATAGTTGATGTTTGAAGGTACATGGCAGATTGAGAATTTAACAACTTATTTGTTTTACATGCACTACTGCCTTGTTGGAATAATTGCCTGGGACCTCAGCCTAATTCTGGATACCATAGACGTCACACACTGCTGTGTGATGATATCCTCACCAACACAACCACACTGGCAGCCAGTGGATGTGTTGGTCATTCTGGCATGAACAGCACATTTTATTTCCTCCAAGTTTTCTGGATTGTCCCTGGTGTTATCATCCTGGAGGCCTGAAATTGACCTAATGGCATGGATTTCTCTCAGGTTAGAGCAGACGCTATTTGACCGATGCTCACAGGTTCTGTTAATCGGGCGCCTGATTCTCATCACCTCAAGCAACAGAACCTCTAAGCATGTCTCCACTGCAAGAAATAAAGCTTTTTGGCAGTTTTTAATGGCAAATCTGCTATTCAACAAATGCAGTTTCTTTACAAATGTGGCATCGTTTAAAGAGAAATAACCTGGCTTTCCAATTGTTATAAATGTCATTGCCAAGAAACATTGTTTCAAAAGAAATAATGTTCCTTTTGAAACAATATTGTGTCCTCCCAACTATCCATCCATCCACCTGTCCATCCCCCATTCATCACTGCTGTAATGTGCCAGTGATGTTAAAGATTGAGTCTGAATAACATGGTATTGGTAAGGTTACTTTTAATGACTTTATTAATATAACCTTTACAACATCTTTTTGGTCCATAATCAAGGGGAGGATTTGCAGGGCATTTATAAGGTAATAACTTATGGCGATTTTTTGTAGGGAGGGATCTATGGCAAGATATCTCTAACTGCTTATGTGGTAGCAGCTCTGTTGGAGACGGGGATAACAAGAGAGGTAAGTTTAAAAAAAAAGTTTCTTTCATTTAACAGTCAGTCCTCAGAGGGAGTTTTCTGATGGAAAAACAGTCATATTTGACAGTTATAAACAAATCTAAAAACCACCGTTAATACAAAATTTCCTGAATTTGATTGATATTTTTTGTTGAGTTTACTGAGTTTTTTGTCATCATAAGAGTAAACACCCAGCGTTATTCCAGACCCACTTAAAGAAGCGAAGGAGGCCTATCCCACCGGGCCGGTTCGTGTGTGGACGTATCACTGCATTCCTGAAAGTTGTGAAGATGGATGTGTTGGCAGTCGGCCCACTCAAATTTGTTATGCCCCAGCACTTTTAATGTACCTGCTTCAAAACATTCAGGCTGACATGCAGCGACAGTTTTAGCCTCACAAAACACCTCTTTAGTAGTCTTCTCACTCTTTCATCCACTCTTCAGAGGACATGTAACCATCTTGCATTTTTTCAAAGACCTTCCCTTCAGTAAAATCAGTCCTCAAAAGCTCAATATCCAGGATGCAAATTCTTGAAACTCTTTTCGTCTTTTCTTACCAGTTTTTGAAATAGTTGAATATATTTGGTATTTCATCTCTTTGGCCCATTTCCATCCATCTGTCTCTCCATTTCCATGCTGCTGTCTGTCTCCACAGGGATTCTTCTTAGTATTTGCCCTTTTAGAGTTGATAAAAAATGAAAAGATATTCTTAACTTCAGAGCCGTACCTTGACCTCCTTTCCAGTTTCCATTAATTAAAAGGCCACACTGCCAATTACAGTAAGATGACTCTAGAGGACTATAATCTAACGGATGAGAAGAAAGTAAACTAAACTTTCCAAGGACATAATGAGTGTTTATACAACAATTCCATTTGTGCAGAAGGAACCGTTGAGCCACTGTATGGCGGACAGTCAGTGTAAAAGTAAACCAAAGGTTTTTGCATCTAAATTGAGGAGATAGAGGGTTGTTAATGTGCCAGTAAACACAAAATGGAGAATAAATTGTGAACTTCAGATTTGTTGGTCCCTCTTTTGTGAATCTAACTTGGAAAAGTTCTAACAAATTTAGCATTTTATTTCAGTACATATATATGGTTGGTAAAATAAGAAGAAAAGAATAAGAACTATAACAAAAACAAAGGCCTTATTTATATATATATATATATATATATATATATATATATATATATATATATATATATATATTATATATATATTATATATATATATATATATATATATATATATATATATATAATATGACATATATATATATATATATATATATATATGACATATATATATATATATATATATATATATATATATATATATATATAAATAAGGCTATATATATATCATGAGGACACTAATGTCCTCCTGACTGACTAATGCATAAGCCTTTATGGGGTGACAATTAATGTGTTAATGTGATTATCAGATTTTAATCACTTTAATCAGTACTTTCTTAGTTTCTGACCATACTGTTGTGTACAGGAAGAGAAGGTGGCAGTGGCTAAAGCCAAGGACTTCTTGGAAAGCAACACGTATTCTGCTGATGATCCTTACACCACAGCTCTGTCTGCATACGCCCTGTCTTTGCTCCGCAGCCCTTATGCTCCGTTGGCTTTGCGTCGCCTCAACCACATGGCCATCACTCAAGGTACTGCTACCTCTGTGATTCAGTTCAAGTTTCATACCGTGAAAAAAAACATATGTACAAAGGAAATGAACAACAAAACAAGAAACAAAACACCTGCATTCGAGCTGCAGCAATACTCCCACCAAGTGTGAGGATGAGTAATTAAAATCATGTTCAGAACTCCACAGAGATCTCATCTTATAAAATGCAATTACCCTCAAGGGACCTGAGGCTAGTGCAGATTAAACAATAAGTAAGTACAATTTCAGTGTCAGAAACAATGTTTAGTGCCTATTAAGGCAACATTAAATTAAGAGATTGGTACTGATTGTTGCGAACTAGTCTATTTATTGTTTCCCTTCATTTCACTATCTTTGCTGTCATAGATGGGCTCACCCACTGGAGTCTGACTGGCAGCACAGTGACAGACGAAGATACTTTCATGGGCTTCAGTGATGGTCTCTCTCAGTCAGGTACCTTTTGCAAAAAAAATGTCTGGGGACCGACGTGATTGGACTTTTCCAATTTTAGTTTTAGTTCCTGCAAATAAAACAACCCTGAGAATTGTCTGTAAATGCAGCTGTTTGTTCCAAGTTGTGTCAGCAGAGGTGGAGATGACAGCCTATGGTCTTCTGACCTACACCGTCCTGGGTGATGTTGCTTCCGCCCTGCCTGTTGTCAAATGGCTCTCCCAGCAAAGGAATGCCTTGGGTGGTTTCTCCTCCACACAGGTAACTTTGTAAAATATACTCCTTGTTCATGATTTTTTTTTTTTATATATTAGAATAGAAGCATCTCTTACTGTCCCACAGTGGAGTAATTCAGGTGCCCCAGGTTTCATCCTGTATTGCACTACATAGAAAAAGTATGTCTCTTGAATATTTGCCTCTCATTTTTTGCAAAATATCTCAAGATCAGACAGATTGTGTCAGAACTTCAAGTTTCAAGACTGGCTGCAGATTTTCTGGTCTATGACACCAAGATTAAATACAACTGTTGTTTGTTAGGGTGCACTTATTAGAAGTTAAGCATTTGTCTTACTCTAAGCTCCAATTGCACTGATCTGTATTTGGCGTTATTCATTTCGGCATCAACTCTGACCAGCCATATTGTAAGTGAATGCTGACAATATATAAATGGGATTTTGAATTTTTTAAAAAATCCTTTTTGTTTGTTTTTCAGTTCTGTTTCTCTATTGTAAAGAAAAAATGCTTTTGATAACCTGAAACATTTAAGTATGACAAAAAAAAACAAGAAATACATTTTGACCAACACTGTAGTTGTTCTAAATGTATGTTGTGCTAACCGATCTCTTCAGGACACGTGTGTGGCTCTGCATGCCTTGTCGGAGTATGCCATCCTTTCTTACATAGGAGGGGTCAACCTCACCATCTCTCTAGCCTCCACCAACCTTGACTTCCAGGAGGCCTTTGAGCTTAACCGGGACAACAAAAAACTCCTTCAAAGGGCCAAGGTGAGTGTGGGTTAGAACAGCTGCTCTGCGTGTTTAGTTGCCTGTTTTGCCGCTTCAAGGCTGCTCACTCTTCTTCCACACAAATGTAATGGAAACACCAGTTTTGGCATGCTTTATCAAATTTATCTATTAGTTCCAGATGTCATAACCAAGATGGATGGGGCATTTCATTTAGTTAAGCTGCAATTTATATACACGTCTATCTTGTGATTAATGAGCAGCTATTTATCAGAGTCAAGCTGCAATCTCTGTGTTCTGTTTCTACAAATCAAGCCTGGTGGATTTTTCCAAATGCACCTTGTTGGTTCCTTGATTTAGGATCTGTGCTTCACTGACGTGTTTACTCACACATTAAACAAACTTGACAGTGATGGGTTTATCTCCCCTGACTACATCGCCTTTCAGGTGAGAATGCAAGCAGTTTCTTTGCCAGGTATGTTTTTTCTGCTATGAGTAAGGGTGTCAACTTAATTAGGGGCAATTTAGGGCTGCTGGTAAGTAGCCAGGGAGCCACTAGCATTAGTGCAGCAGCCTATAGCATTCATTCACTTGATAAATGACTCAGTCACCTCTCCCTGCCCCTCTGACTCTTTGTTTCTCCTACTTTTTTTTTTTTCTTGTAGATACCCAGTATCCCCACAGGCCTTTTTGTCAGCGCCAAAGGTGAAGGCTGCTGTCTCATGCAGGTATTAGACACACTCAAGCTTGTGTAAATGCCTGTTTGCCGTCTTGGAAAATTACCTAAATTGAAGCTCTAGTGCTATGGCTCACAATGATCTGCCAAAAAGAGGTGCGTCAAATGCTGCTGCAGCAAGTTAATGAAGAAAAAAAAATTAAAAAATAAATCAAACTCAGAGTTGCTTGTTAGGGGGAATTTTACGGGCGGATTCAAGTATTATGTAGTCAGTAGTGCATTTTTACCTTGTAATTCTCAATTGTTCGGAAATGAAATGCAGTGTATTGTCAACCATTTTCACAGAAATGTAACTGCAACTGAATACGATGATTTTTTTTACAGCTTTCCTTTGCTTCACAGTTTTCTTTATAAGAACAACTTTCACTCAATACCCATTTTTTGTGCATCTATTGCTGCCCATTAGCCAAGCCACACCTGAGCCATGATTAAATCCAAGACTTGGACAATCAAATACCTGCACATGTTTGTTAGCAGATGGTCAGAATTACCATTTAGTGCTTTTTTGAATTTCAAAAGTATTCAGATTATACCCCAAGAGGACCAAGGTAATTCTGGAGAAACTGCAGAGTCTTATTTTTCAGGTGGAAATGCAGGAGTTCATCATGGACTCCATGCATTTCACTTTTTTGGGGGATGGGGAAATTGGCAAAAAGAAACCCTGAGTTAAAAGAAAGACATAAAATGTCCTGTTTGCCACAAGCCATTTGTGGGATATGACAAACATGTGAAATAAGGTGCACCAAACAGAGGAGACCAGATCTGAATAATTAAAAGAATATACTATATGTTCATAAAGACGTGGTTTATCTTAAGTGTTTTCTGCTTCTTTATTTTGGTCTGCCTGTAGATCGACGTGTCTTATAACGTGCCTGACCCCGTAGCAAAGCCAGCTTTCCAACTCAATGTGGATCTGAAAGAACCTTTACAGGAGCGACCCCTACAGCCCTCCTCCTCATCTTCTGCTCCCAAGCACTCTGCATCACGTTCCCGAAGCCGAGCTGACAACCGCTCTGAGCTCAGCTGGAAGCGTCGGGCTCCCATTGACGATGACGACCCAGCGGCCCACCAGGACAAACTGAGCTTCCACATATCTTTAGAAGTTTGCGCTAGGTAGAGACTCACAGTGTTCCTGTGTACAGAGCTGACTGGGAAAAAAAAATATTTTGTTCATTATTTTTCTAATCTTCTGGTCTAGGTGGCTCCATTCAGGCTCATCCAACATGGCAGTCATAGAAGTTCCCATGATTTCTGGTTTCAGAGCTGATGTCGAAAGCCTGGAAAGAGTATGGAATCACTCAGCCACGCATACACACCTTCCACCTTAGACTGTATGCTATGAACCATGTACTTTATTCCACTGTCGTATCAACCTCAGAACAACAAGAAAAATTATGTTAAGATGCTGCTGGATATAGTAAGACAGCGTAATTGTCAGTGAAATGAGTTCTCTGCCGACATGGACTGAAAGGCCAATGAGAAAAGAAATGGTCGATCCTCCAAAGGAATTATAAAATAGGCAGATTTAAAAAAAACTAATAAAATAACATTTCAATGAAGTCACACCAACATGTTACAGACATACAGTGTAGCATACACACATAGAGCTGCTGTAAATCATCTGCTCTTTTTACTCTGAAAAACCAATGTCAACCCAACTGGAAGCAGTGACACATTAACAAACAATCTGTTTTTCTTAGGCGAGGAATGAGTATCATTAGGCATTGGTTGCATTGGAATATTGAGGAATGTGTGTAATTAGAAAGGTGGTAGCTAGTATGAAGTAGGTTTTGGGGCTGAATCCAGGTCAGTTCCCCAGTCACCCATCAGAAGAAGCATGTCCCTCATTACTGGGCTGTAATAGGGCTTCAGTCTGCAGGCTTCCATTACTACAGAGACACCTCTGTGGCTACCTGGAGCAATGTAAAACATGCACACATACACACACAGAGCATGCTGTCAGTATGTCACTGGAGGCTGACCTGAGTTGTGGTGCCTAACAAGCTGAGTTTAAACCCCTGCTGGCCTCCCTTGGGTTTTACTGCTGAATGCCTGACTGCCATTCACATTCCTCAAGTTTACAGTGGCAACCCTGGTTTCAGCTTGGCCTCATCTTATTTCATAGGTGCTGTGGACATAAATGATTAGTCCAGTAACTGCTTAGGGCTCCTGTCACCCTGACATAACGAGCTGTGATTAACAGCCTAGAGGACGCTGGGAGTTTAGTGTTTGAGTTGCAGAAGTTCACAACCGGTTTGCGTTGCTACATGAACAAACAATGCTTTTTTTTTTAAGAGTGTGTCTACATACGAGTGTCTCTGTGGCGCCAGCTCCAGGTGAGCACCTCATAAACCCCCTACTGTCCCAAGACTGCCACCTCTGACTGGGGGAACAAGCTTATGGGATTTTTTTTATTATTATTTTCACACAGATTCACAACAGTGTGCTCATTACTCCTTATATTTGCCAGTCATTTTCTGCGAAGAGCCCTTTCAGTCATCTTTCTACTGTTTCCCACGAGGGCAGCTTGAGTTGAAGATCATGACTCAGACAAAGTTGTGAAAAAACATGAAGAGTCTCTGAATTGGCATGTAGACAATTAGAACTACTTAAAGCTTTGGTTATGGATCTGTAACATTTTATTCACACAAAATATATTTTCTTCTGTGTGAGAAGTAGCACTGGGCTGGGTGATGTGGAGCTGTCCAGTTCGCTGTGGTGCTGATTGCTATTAATATTAAAAGTAATTTTATACATTTCCATTTATCACAATTTGATTTAAAACTGCACACATCTGCTTTTCAACTTCTTTGCAAATGTTCCTAAACATCTCTCTAGGACAATTTCCAACTTGCAAGATTAGAAAATCAATCAAAAATTGTTCATCAGTCGTAGCAGTAAGTTTGGAAATTTGAAACATTAGGCAATGTAAATAGTTATTTTTAATTATATTTTGCCTGCTTGCTAAAAATATTTCTTGCTAATAATACAACATTTTTCATGAGGTGGTGAAAAAGGTATCACATTTAACAGATGTGCTCAAAATAAAAGCTGTATTTTTCTCTTTTTTTGTTTGTTTTAAGGTAAAATTTGTCTGCAAGTTTGTTTTTCATAACTTTCTTATGGGTGCAAATAAATGTGTTAACTTTCTGACTTGCTCTATCAAGTCTGCAGTTTAATTTTTTTACACATGTGAACCTTATACCTTCCTGAGGTGATCCTTATAATTACATCTCAAATAAACTTCAGTGTACAAATAGTTTGTGTAGATTTACAATAAAAGATCCATTGATCCAAATTGATGCAAATTTTGACAGATAATTGTTTTCTATCTCTCTTTACAGCTGATGATGGATAAAAGAGTGGGGTTGAAGAGGTATGAGCTGAATGGCAGAAAAGTCTTGTTCTACTTTGATGAGGTATGTAGAAATAAAGGCATGGATTGAATGATTCAGAGGTGTGCAATATTTCTGATCTGTATTTGGTGCACCAGTGCTCATGTGTATGTATGTGCAACTTTTTGCCTTAGATTCCCAGTCAATGTATGACATGTGTGGCCTTCCAAGCTATCAGGGAATACATTGTGGGCAAGACAGCACCTGTTCCGGTCAAGATTTATGATTACTATGAACCAGGTATAAAATCTTTTTTTGGGTGCGGTTCTGTAAAGTGTTAAAAACAAAAGGATCTTCTTCCTGTGTTGACTAAGGTTCCTTTTTCGACTTTTAACGTTGCAAAGTAGCAAATATGGTGTTGTGTTGTGCTTGTCATGCAGCTTTTGAGGCCACCAGGTTCTACAACGTCAGCGAGAGCAGCCCACTTGCTCGGGAGCTTTGTGATGGGCCCACCTGCAATGAGGTCGAGAGTTCAACAAATCAGTGGATCGGTGAGAAACACAACAGATGCATAATGATTTTCATGCACCTTAGTTGTTCCTCTGTCCTCTAACCAATTTCTGCAGGTTTTGTGCAGGGAAACCAGTGCAACAATGTATTAGGCTGCCTGGAGCAGGAGCAGATTGAGCGCTGCACATGTTCCAGGGACTGTGGCTACGACGGGGAGCCTGTTTGTGGGTCGGATGGGCAGCTCTACCAGAACCTGTGTCAGATGGAGGTGTCTTCTTGTCGAAATGGGACTCGCATCAAACAGGTCCCCGTGTCCCAGTGTTCACCCAGTAAGTGCTCGAATTACTGTGTGTGGACTTTCTACTTGTTACTTTTTATACACAAATTATTACACCTAAAACCGAAAAGGAGCTCATCTTAAATTGTTCCAACGAGTGAAATATATTTTAACCAATGAGAACATAGTTAGAATTAAACGTATACTTGTTGGCCTATATTGTTTTATTTTCACTCTTTTATCCTCCTTGTTTGGTACTGTGGAAGATGTTCATAAGTTAAAGCTTGAGGACATAAATAAGCTACATTCACATAACTAAAAGGAAAACATCAACATTTATAATCAAATTTAAATTACAACTAGAAGAAAAAGATAAATATATAGTCATATTCGATAAATAAAAAAGATGCATTCTGGTAAGATTCATTGTCAGAGTAAAGGTGCCCTTGACTTTTAAGCATGATATCCTTAAAGGTCGTCATGGTTGTTGTTATGTCAAACATACATTTCATTAAGCCCACATTTCTGCATTAAAATGGTGGTGGCAGCATCATGCTGTGGGTATGAATTTCTTCAGTAGAAACAGTGCCACTGGTTATAGTTAAACTGAATATTCCTGTAGTTAAATCCAGGAAACTATTAGACAAAATCCTAACAAATCCTGCAAAAGACTTTAGAGATGAGTTAGGTATTCACCTTCTGTCAAGATAACAAGCATAAATATACACACAGATAAAATAAAATCATATTATATCTTTTTGTTAATGGTACAGAAAGAATCCTGTATTGAATCTAGTGGTGAATTGATCACTGTAGCTATAAATAAATTTTTATAAGAGTTTATTAGAATCTGTGAATAAAAAACTGATGCTACGAAGCACTGTTCATCTGTTGTGATTGAGCTATTTGTAAAACAAAACAAAAATAGAGAAAAACATCATTAGATGTGCAGAACGGGAATCAACTTACCTCAAAAGATTTGCAGATGTTATTACAGAAAATTATGGTTGTATAAAATATTGGCTCAAAAATATTTATTCACACAGTTTTCAGATTTTAGTGGTTGTAGTATGACAAAAATTCAAGGAGCAGAAATACTGTATATTACTGGTCCATATCCATATCTGGTCCATGTGAGACTGCTGCGTATACACTTTGCTTTGCAACTCTATTTTAATCTGTCAATATGTGCGTGCACCTGTAAATGTGTCTGAGCCTTGATCTGAGCTCAGGAAACAGCCGTTCAGGTGACGATCTGATTACTGGACGAGTCCTCAGAGGAAAATAAAAACTTCGACCCCCGCTTTCCCCAATCCTCACTCGCTCTCCGTCATATTACAGGGCTCTCTCCAAATGACAGAGTGCTTTTGTCCTTCCTCAGAAATCCTCGTCACATTCCTTTCCGACGCACAGCCCAACAACAAAGGAGCCTTCATGTTGCGGAGCAGATTGGGGAAAAGGCATAGACAAAACTTTGGTGGGAAAAGTCCTGAGCCTGTGCCAAGTGTTTCATGCTGTAAATGATCAAAAGGACTGACGCGCTCCCTGACCTTGTTTGTTTGTGTATGCTTCAATAGGGGCAGATTTGTTTCACGGCTTCCTCGTTTTGAGGAAAGAAAAGGAGGCTGTTGTTGCTTAACTGTTCATGATTTGGCTCCTTCTATTTTTGGAGAGATACATTTTGACGAAAGTCTTTGTTGGGAGTAAGCAAACCTCACTGTTTATCAGTGAGGTGCCCCTGAGTGTGAGCAACACCAGCATTCCTTGCTTTAGGCAAAGTGGAAGCCACGTTTATGTGACTGATCTACAATCTGCCTCTGTGTGTGTTTGTCAAGGTAAGACCATTGAAAACAACCAGCCAGTGCTGAACCAAGAAACTGAGCAACCTTCAGTGCCTGTGCACACAGGTAACCATACCATAACCTTTCTCATTCACCACATCCACAATTGTCTCCTGATTCTTCACATTCACGACTGGAAGAATCAGCACCTGTATTTACTAAAAGAGGCTGTTATTCTGCTTGTGCAAACTTTCTTTATCAATCCGAAGCAGCTTGTCAGATTAATGTCATTTTGTTAACATTTACAACATATTTCCACATATTCTTTATATGCAAAACACAAAGGTGTTCAATGCATGCATAAACACCTTTGTGTTTATATTTACTCATGATAAATTAAGAAATCTGCTGAAAGAAAACCACAGTATATCTCATGTGCAGTTTTGTAGAGGATATGGTAAATGTGCTGTCATCAGATGTAACCGAAATATTGCTTTTCCCATTATACAAAACAGTAACTGTGCATTTTACATTAAACACATCATCAACACAGTAAAACACGGTGAAAGCAGCTCATGCTGTGAGGATACTTTTTATCAGGAGAGATAGGAAGCTGGTTAGAGTTATTGGAAAGAAGGGTGAAGCAAAACACAGAACAAAACTGAACCAAAACTTGTATGAAGTTGCAAGAGACTTAGATTTGGGCAAGGGGGCTTAGCTTCCATGTATACTAAAGAGAAAAAATATTTTGAGTAAAATATAGTCACATGTTATTATGGCACAGATAAATCCAGACCTCAATCCAATTGAGAATCTGTGGCAAGATATTTATTTCTTCACAGATGCTCTCCGGTCAGCCTGACAGGTGTATTTTATGAAGACGATTGAACAAGAATCTCAGTCATTCATCTTTGAAATCATACATCATTTTTCTTCCTCTTGCCAAATATTCTCGACTTTGTGTGGGTCTGTCAGGTGAAATACCAATAAAATGGAGTTTATGGTTGTTGTGTGACAAAGCATAAAAAAGTCAAAAGAGAAGCAAGCAGGACTAAACAAGAGAACAAGGAGCAGACACAAAGGAAACAGGGTGGGGAGATTAGGGTTAAACTGATTTGTAGGTGTGTGGCAGCACATTCCCCTGCCACCACCTCACGTCTACAATCAGCATGATAAATGGGAGGATAAGTTTCACACACCGAGCTTGCTTGTTGCTGTCAGGACTCTTACCTTTTCTCCTGATAAGCAACCAGAGAATTGCTGAAAGGATGTTTCACTGCGTGGATGTAGGATGTAATTGTGTTGGCAATGACAGCATAAAAACACATTACAGAAAGTGTCAAGTTCTAACACCTTAACGTTGTGGGCGTGCGGGGGAGGGTGAAAGGGTGTTCATTTTTGGGGGGGCACAACATTACGTCCTATCTACAGTTTCTTAGCGGTATCCAGGTGTGCATTTGTGCATGCATGTTTGATGTTGTGTGACCTGCTCTGACTTGTTTCTCAGCCTCTAACTCCCAGTAGCTGCTCCTCTCAGTCAAAGGTCTCCCTCAGTACAAAAGCGAAATGCTCGACACAAGAATGCAGTGCACAAATGCAGGTATATGCCTGTCAGAAGCAAATATTCCAAATGTTAATTATCATATCTCAAGTCTTTTGGAGCCTCTTGAGCCACACTGACACACACATTCAGCTATAGTCACCCTTTAGATTTATTATGATATAAACTGTGAAATCACTGTCACTGTAAACCATTAAACCATTAAACTTCAGTCTTCTGAGAGCAACAAGAAAGCAAAAGGTAAAGAAGAGTTCGGCCAAGAAAATGAGATGCACCGAAGGAAGCTGAAGCTCTGGAATTACTTTCCGTGTGCAGACTTGTCTTATTAATGAACCTGCAGCAGCGGTCAACATACAGTCAAATGCAGACATGAAGGCTTCATTTGATCTGTGGTATTTCTTTTATCATTTGTTTTTGGTCCTACATGTGCAAGTCTTTAAATGTGGGGATTCGTGCAAAATGTTCCATCAGAGCCATTTTAAAGTGAAACTCTAATACCTCTAGTCACATAAAACATTAAAGATAAATAGACTTAGTCACATGCTGTGTCAAACAATTTACGGAAGGGGGCCCTCTCCTGGTCAACATTTGGTACTCCATCTTAGGAAGCTCTTGTATACAATGTCCTAAATATTAACTTTTATAATCAAGGCTGTCTCATAATTCCCTGCCCTTTACACAAACAGAAGCCTTAAATCAGTCTCCATCTCTGGAGAAATGATTCTGCAGATAAACCAAGCCACCAGAAAGACGAATAAATATAAATCTGTGAAAGAGATGACGGCAAATAGCCAAAATCCCAGCGAATCTGTGCCCAGTTGAGATGATTTGACATAAACACTACTCTAGAATGCTATGGTAATTTATCGCTCAACAAATTAATTTCTCCTTTACATAGTGGACATTGTCATCAATCATTGACCGTACTTGTCTATAATCAGCTTTTATTTTACTGAATTTGTCTGTCCCTCTAGGTGAAGAGGAACAAGGCTCCATGCCAGAGGTGTCCTACTACTCCTACGAATATGACTCTGATCCTTTCCTTGCTGACGGAGAGGAAGGGGACCATTTTGACATACCAGGAGGTGGGGGAGGTGTGCAGCATAAAGTGCCCCTACAAGCAAACACCCAGCTACCCACAATGGATACAAAGAGCACCCCTGAGCGATGGTATGTGTGTCTCTGAATTTGATATTCCTCTGGTTGTTCTAACTGGAACGACCTGCATGATTTTTGAGGTTCTCTGGTAGCAAAGTCGTTTCTCTTCTTTGTCGTCCACAGAAATACGCAGACCGAAGCCGTATGCCCACCTTAAAATTGTACCATATTTGTGAATATGCTTGTGAATGGAAAGAAAATGGAGACTATGCAAGACTGGCTTGGACAGAAAGTTGGTGTGATCTGGGAACTGAGTTTATGTTGTTATTTGAATGGAGTCAGAGCGGATGCTTTTATCGTGTATGTCTGTTTTCGTATGTGGTAGGATGTGACTGAGAATGATTTAAAACTAGAATCCTCCAGACCTTTTTACTCATCAGTAGTCAGAGTAGAATCTTTATCCAGTGTGCTGCGTTTATAATCACTAGTTTGTAATTACACTCAATGTTAAGCAATATGTTTTATTATATTTTCTATCTCTGGTATTTATTTGTAGTTAGAACTCCTTATTTCTATTTTAAAGTCATTACCTGCCCATACAGACTACTTCCCCCGCCCCCCACTGTGGTTCTTGATGTGCTTATTTAAACACATTTTTTTGGCTTTAACACCGAATAACTGAAAGGTCTGATTAAAAATATTGTGCTGGTATGCTGCTGGAGAAACACATATGCTAACCATATGCTTTACAGAAACATAAGCTGATGTTTTTTATCATTGTAAGATGCCATCTTCTTCATTTTTTTATTTGTTGCACAGCTTTGAAGAGACAGGACACATAAACTTGGAAAGCGAGACAGTATACTGTAGGTCTTGTCAAACTACAAACTTTGAGGTTAGTGGAACTTTTAAACGTCGCTGCATAAGGACTCTGCATTTGTCTCTGAAACTACTCAACCACCATCTCTCACCATTCACCTTACATGCCAGGAAAGCTGATTGTACAGATCATAAGCTATTTTGTTGTTGTTCAACTAAAGGATGTTGAGGAAATTGATTGATGTAAATGTACCAAATTTGACCAAATGTAATCCTAATTCATATCAAATACTGTTTTTGAAACAAAAGAGAATAAAATTTATACACAAACCAGGCTTTTGTTTCCAGGATTGAATTTATGGTGGGTTTTCTCTCATCAGAAATGTGTTCCTTAGCTTCTGGGGGGTATTTTTGGTTGGATATTTGACCACTTGTTTTATCAGAACTGGTAGAGTGGATTTAAATTACCGTAGTTGGTGTCTTTGCATGTGCTTGCCTTTAAAGCACAGTCAAGAATTGAGCAAGTTTAGAAGTCTAATGTTAATTTGCTCTATTTCCTCCAAAAACAGTTTTGATTGAGTTGAAGAATAGCGAGATGGTTGTTTGTCTTTATCATTCCAACACTGGCCGTAAAATAGTCCCTGAGTATGATGCCACCATGCTTGACATTTGTACCGTGCATTTTGGACTGAAAGTCTCGACTTGTCTGTTCCAAAGGTTTTGCCATTGACAACAATTCTCTGAATACGAAGCCTTTCTTGCTTTTAATTTCTTGAGAAGATCACAGAGAAATGTCAGTCTTCCCCTGAGACGTAGCGTTCTTTCCTGACCTGCACTGACTCAAAGTTTATGTTAAACTTTCATGATTATGTACAATGACACTGCCATTTCAGCAACTAGAATTAGGTCTGACCACTGTGGGACCTTTTATAGACAGATGTGTGCCTTTCCAAATCAAGTCCAATCAACTGAATTTACCAGGTGAACTTCATTTAAGTTGTAGAATCATCTGAAGGATGTGGAACAGTTTTTTTGTTTTTTTGCCTAGCTAAGGGTGTGATTTATTTATCTATCTATTTATCTATCTATTTATTTATTTATTTATTTATTTATTTATGTAGGCTATTTATTTATTTATGAATTGGCAAACAACTAAAAAAGAAACATTCCATAATGTCAAAATTGGTTAGTTGTATGTAGAACAAGGGTCAGCAACCTTCACAATCGAAAGAGACATTTTTGCATTGGCGTTTTCAAAATAAAACTTAATTTTACAGTATAGTCCAAGAATAATATGATACATTTATGACCAAACAATATGCATCTTCTGAATACTGATAATATTTATAGAAATAACTTGTTCAATTGGTGTCATTTTAATGTAGAAAACAGAAGAACTGATACAATTAGTTTCTTTTCATTTCTACACTAGCTTCATATTTTTGGCTGAAATTGTGAAAAGCTGTCGTAAATGAATTACAAGACAATGATGACCATAAACCTCTAACTGGAAGTGTGTACCTCAAAAATATGGATGTACATCATATTTGTTTTCACATCACCAAAGCAACAGCTGAGAGGGAGCTAGACTGTGTTAAAGTTTAATGTTTAGCGATTGCACTTGTCACTCGTCGGCCCCCTCTGTTACCTCGACCTCCAGCAGATTGCAGGTCAGACCTCTGTGTCTCTAATCACTATGATTAGATCCAATCAAATAAATAGCTAGTGTGCTGCTGATATTCAGCCACAATGGAGACAGTGTGACCAAATGATTAGAAGACGATGAGCTCAGAGGTTGCTGGTTCAACTTCCAAACGTGAAAGTCTGATACACCAGACAAACACTCTGTGGCTGCTGCATCTGTTGCATCTAAGCATTCACAATTGATCAAAACATTTCTGGACAACAAGCCTCCACTGCAGGGGGCTGACTGCAACAAGCTACCTAGGGCAGTCTCTGTGGCAACTGCATGCATGGTTGAAGAGTGATGTTTCACGTCCACGCTCCAATGAGCAGAAAGAGTGAAAAGAGGAAGGGGGGAGACGGGGATCTTGGTTCCATGCCTTGCGGGGGACAGCTAGCATTACATGAGAGTGAATCAGAGTGATGACATTGTTTCTAAGTACCAGCTCGGTGCACCTATAAATGTCCGACCCTCTCGGACAGGCTATTCACCTGTCTGAGCTGCTTTGGACGAATTATCGATACAAAAGAGGGAAGCTGGAAGAGGGTTACAATTTGAGCTACAGGGAGGAGTCTAGCGCTTTGTTGTCATTTTGATGTGCATTACTGGTGTCAGGTTTCCTGATTGTTTCAGAGGAAACTAAGTATTGATCCTGAATGGCTGCTGAAAAGTTCTCCATGGTGGGACGAAGTAAAGAGAAAGATTAATCGCTGATGCTCATCTGGTCCACACCCTGCTTCACCTTTGGCTGGCATGAGAATTTTTATTTTTGACTGTTTAATTTCCCATCTCCATCCAGTTTGACATGTTACGTGAATATCTTTTTAGTGCGGCTACGGTTTTTAAATCCTGAAGGACCCTTAGCCCAATGGAGAAAAAATACCCAGCAATTGCAGGGAAGGAGAAAGGTGAGTGCATGACTGAAATAATAAATCTCAATGCTGCTATTGATTTACCTGGCTTTATAGTGTGTGGGAATATCAACACCATTAGCATTAAATCTTGCAGTCAGTTTTGGTTACTTAACTGACATGAGCAAAGAGGGAATATACACAAAGTGCCGACCTGCCAGGACTCGCTCTGTTCTGATTCTGAAAAAAGATTGCTGCAGCTCCACAGCACACATCTTCTAGAGCAGAATCAGTTGCTTAATAATTCGTCAGGATTTAAGTTGGTCAAATGGAAACTCTCTCCCTTCACAAAGCTACAGTACACAATAAATTACTATGGGTAGTTTTCATTTGTAGCTGTGTATTCAAGCATTTGTGTTGTGAATGCAATAGAGTATATAGATCACGTGAGGTTGTGTATGAGCAAATTCATCAGACACCTGTCTCCAGGACCAGGACCTGGGCGCTATGGATTGCCTCCCACCATTGGGTTTGTCGGCCATGACTTCACAAAACCAAGCAGCCCGGCCTACTCTTTCCACGGCAAGATCAGTAATAAGAGTGAGTGGCATCAGGATTATAGACGCAGTATGTCACAAAACGTTCTCACATGTTCCAAAATACGTGAAAAACAATTTTGGTTTCCAAAAATTTTCACCCAAAAAAAAAAAGAAAAGAAAAGAAAAAAAAAAGGTTTAATGCTGTGGCGATGCTTTTATTTTCTTCTCACTCTCATGCTACTTTCAGACAGATTGTGCTGGGTTAAAAAATGATCTTGTCACATTGATGAAAAAATTAATAAAAATAAGTGAAAACATCTGAGTTGATATCAAAATGCTTCTTCATGTATTTATATTTAAATAACAACTCAAAAAATGATTTAATCTTCCCAGGATTTATCCTTCACGCCAGATTTTACTACATTGTGTGGTGCAGTAATGCCTCTGTGCCCCTAGGGGGAGATAGAACTTCATAGTTCTAAACCTAAGCAAGTCAAACCGGTTCTGAAGGTTTTCACTTTATTATTGCAGTGCTTTCTCTCGACTCCAGTCCAGGGCCTCTGTATCATGTTGATGCAAAAATCACTCGCTTTGGAAAGGATGGCGCACCTGCATATACAATGTTGAGTAGAATGAAAGCACAGAGTAAGTTTTTGCTCATTCTTTGTGAATGGATGTTAACTATTCACACATTTTATTCATTCGTATTTCCTTTGGATCTCTCCAGAAATTAAGTTTCATTTGTTGCCTCTGAACTACACTGTCGGCCTATCACGATAACAAATTTTGCTAGACGATAAATTATCCCAAAACGTATTGTGATAAACAATATTGTTGTTTTGAGCCAATTTTCAAGTAATATAATAGTGATAATGGCACAATAAGGCAAGAGCACGTCTTCAACTGATAAATTTTATTCAGTTTTTGTTAAAAGGAGAGAAAAACGATACATCCATTAAATGAAAATGATTGTTTTTAATTCATCACGAGATTAATTGATTCAATGTTTAGTGTGACATGCCATCATTATTATTTTGCATTTATATTTCCCTGTTATCTGATCAGTAGAAGAGCTATTCAGCACACCTGGACCTGGTACGTACAGTCCCGAGAAAGCTCCGCCCTGCAACCTGCAGCGCAGACCGCCCTCCTACACGATGGGTCGTCGCACCCGCTACCGCACCGTCGACCCGGTCCCCGCTCCCAACAAGTACAGCCTGCCTCCGCTCCTTGGCTCCCACATCCCAAACAAGAGAGCCAGCGCAAGTTTCACTATGCCGGGCACTTTCAGCACCGGGGGACCGTCTGAGGATTTAGCCAAGACGCCCGGACCCTGCCGGTACAACAGCACGGACCCGAGCGTGTATCGGCCGCGGCAGCCCGCGTTCTCCATGTTGGGACGTCACGACGTACCCAAAGACAAAAGCGAAAAGCCCGGCCCAGGGGCGTACAACCCCGAGAACGTCACGGCTCACAAGAGCAGAGCGCCAGCATACTCCATGGGCGTCAGACACTCGGAGTTTGTCACGCCACTAGTGGTCGGGTTTTCTGACTAACAGAGTCAAATAAACAAGTCTGGAATAATAAAAAAAAACATGTTGTAGTTAACATTTTATTTTGTTCTTTAAGTAACAAGGTAATAAGTGTTTGCAACATTTCGAACATTTAACAACGAATTTACATAACAACGTTTAACAGGAAAGAAAAACCCTATAGTCACTCCGTACACAAATGCATCTTGAACTAGAAAAGACATTCAAAAATATGTTTAAGGTGTACAACAGACAAGTAAACATTCCCCTTCATATTGTAGCATATTCAAGGTTTTTATTCACAGTGAACAAAAGCAGCTTGGCTCTCAACACAAGCAAAAAAATAAATGTAGGGATTCTGAAAGGCAAACGGAAAGTTTTCTACAAAAAAAAAAAATATTTAAAACATTTTTAGAAATATACATATGTAGAAAAGAAGTGCAGCTCAATGATGCAAAGGAGCTTTATGCTTGAAGATTGTTCCCATTCATTCCTTGGGAAGAGGCCTTCTGAAAAGGAGTATGTGTGGTTCTGCACAGACAAAGCAAGAGAAGACGAGACAAAAATCAGATTATATGGAAGATAAAATACGAACAGACTTGTGTGGTTTGGCTTTTACATAGTTACCAATACGGCTCATTCTGCTCACAGGGAGTGATGCAAAGCAGGGAATTCAACAGTGAACAAGAAAAAAAAGTAAAACACAGCCAAGTAGGAAAGTGTCCCAAACCCTATAAATATATAAAATTAAAAGATTTTTAACTTTATATATTTCAGAATGAAAAAAAAAACATACTCTTTAAAATATAAAATTATTAATAAAAATTAATTTTAGTTTTCAGAACACTGTGGACATTAAATTCTTGTAGTTAGATTTTCAAATCTGTATAAAATCATGAACTAAGCACTGGAGTTAGTTTTCAGTTCCTGGTAAAGGACTTCTAATGTGAAATAAGTAACCATGTCAAAGATTTTTTCATAATTTATTGGTTCTGGAAATGTAATTTAAAAAATGTGTTTGCGCTTTTTCATGACTGTGTAGAACACTGTAAATCAGAACATTTTATTAGTAAGTGTGATTTTTTTCCTCAGGTACATAAAAGCCAACTCATGCCTAAAATGATGAGACGTTCAGTAGTGAGTTTTTTATTCTGATCTACGGTGTAAATTAAACTGATGGAAAAAAGAAATGTGTCCAATCAGTAAATTATGGTAAATCCCTTCATTTACATAGTGATTCTTGTTACCTGTACAGGTAATAAGAATCAGAGAGCATACTTTTGTTGTGTCTAATTTTCAGCCCTAAACTTTCAACTTGCAATTCACACATTCCTGTTTCATTTCATGTCTTGACACCTCAGAGTATGATTCTTCCTTAATTTTGAGTAAGAGTTTGTATGAATACTCTTATACATTTTTTAAAGTGAGCAAATTGTGGGAAGTGGGATTCCACCACAAATAACATTAAAAAAAAACTGATTTAAAGAGGTAAAATGTCTGCACATTGTTAAAATATAATTGAATTGTAATAAGTTGAAATTCTAACTTTCATTTTTAAGAAAAGACTGGATAATATTAAACAAAGGCATTTTCTCCAAAAATACATCAATGTAAACGCAGGACAATTAGATTCCTGTCATTTTAATATTAACAGAGTGCTTCTGTTTGCCCTACCATTACTATGTCACTCGAGGCCTGGACAAAAGTTGGAAACATCATCAACATCTAAAATGTCACATCAAAGCTAGATAAAGTATAACTTTATATCGAAAAGTAAAGGTGGATTAAGCAGAAATAAACCCATTTGGCTGACACCAGTTTTTAGTTTTAGTTTAGATTAATATTCAGCCAGAGATTGATATGGGCCAATTTTCTATCAATGATTAGCTGGTTATTTGTTGGGGGGAGGGGGAGAAAGAAACAAGACACCCACAAACCCCACTTGTTAAATGCTTTCAAACTCAGAACACCCAAATTTATTTTCTCTATATACATTCACCAACAACATGCATTCTCTACACACTTAAGAACTTAAAAAGAATCAGAGGGACATATACTATGATGCACAAACAAGATAACCTTGTAATTATTATGGGCTTTCTTGTTGATTGAAAAGCCCCTGTCTGCACCAAAATTAATTTCAATTCAAAAATTAAATGTTGTTGTAACTCATTAATTTATATTCTTCAAAGAGACATTGAAAACCGTGATGGCAAAAACTGTATTGTATATATATATATTTTTTTTCTTCTTCTTCTTTCTCCCATCTTTGTATATTGTCTTTAGAAAAAAAGCTGATATGATGAAAACAAGCTGGTCAGAGCTCAAAGAAATTCAGGAAACAGTGGCATCCAAGAAAAGCCTCATTGATGCCCCCCTGCCCATAAAATCTCTGATCTTTGCTAATGACTAAACAGTAGTCAGCACATAATATCCTCTGCCTCTGTGAAATGATCAGTTGAATGTTACATTTTAACTTGCTTTTATAGTTCTCGTAACAAAATCTCAGGTCAGAGATTTCTTTAAGGAAACTTAAAAAAAAAAATGCAGAAATGTAGAACACTAAGCAATATTCGAGCAACAAGTTCTTCAGAGCAGAGTTTACATTATTCAGAAACCTGTCCATTGGATCCTTGGTTTACTGACCTGGTTTGTGGATCATGTAGTGGATCCATCCCTGACTCTGCTGCACTCCCAGTCCTCTCCACTCTTCTTCTGTCATCAGGTGGGAGGAGGGGACCAGCTTGGACAGCTGCTTAGGAAGCACAACATGCCTGTAAAGAGGTAAACATGATCACATTTGAAACAACCTGCCACGTATTTAAATATTAATGAGACCGAGGTTAGCATAAGGCTGTTAGCATGGTTAACAGTTAGCCGGATGATGTTTTGATTCTGCGGGAAAACTGTAATTTAACACTGATATATTTATAATAGTCACTTAACTCATCTGAGCACAAAAACTGTTGCAATCGAAAAATAAGCTGGCAGTATATTTTAAGTGATATGATGAGCCACAAAGCTAGATAACTGTGGCTCATCACAGTTAACACAACATTATGTTATGTTAACGTTAGCATATAAAACCAGCGTAGAAAACTTGAAGAGTGCAGTACCTGTACTCGAACTCCTCATCGTTGTACTTGTCAGAATAGAAAATTTGTTTCTTGGACATCTTATCTCAGTTATAATCCTGTTTCCAAGTGAATAAACTGGCTTGCGTAACAACCTGCTGTCATCTGCCGCTGTTTTCCAACGACAATTCAAATCCCGACCGTTACCCGCTTCCTCCTGATTGGTCAGACGGCAGCTGGCGGATTCAGAGTGATCGTCTAGCTGTGGAAAGATGAGCCACTCCAACGTAAAACCAAAAGAGCCAGGATAATGGTTGAAATACGGGGTATTTTTCTTCCCGAAATAAGAGCTTTTATTATTTCTTCTCTTCTTTTTTAATAGGAAAGCAGTATATATTTTGCATAAACTTATGTTTAGTTCGAAAACTGGCTCGTGGTGGGATTTCAGTTATATGGGAGATGGAGACGCTCTTTCGCGTCTCTCTATCTCTGCGTTACAGGACGCCATCAAACCGTAAACAAAAATGACAATCATGCCGTGCGCGCACCTTTCGCAATGACGTACAAAAACCAAACTATAATTTCTACCTTGTACAAAAAAGCAAAGCAGACATAAAAAGACCGACGACGAACCAAAGGTTGAGTGAAGTTCAAAAGTGATATTGTGTGTGTGAACCAGGTCCTTATATCCTTGAGGGGACTCAGTTCTGTCTATGTGGGGTTGTGAGGACCACTGCTCCTTATTAAAAAGTTCAATAAAATGTCTTGGTCCCTAAGAGGGCAAATGCTATTTATGGGGCAAATAGCTATAGAAAATATATATTTTAGGGCAAAGGTGTGAATTGTCTATTGCTTAGATGTGCATGTGTGAATGTAAATGACTGAATTCTTTGTAAAACGTCTTTGAGGTTGCTGAAAGGCTCTATACAAGTCTGATGTCATTTAATTTTCTTTTGTCAAATTATTATTCTGTGGTAAATTTAACATCCAGTATAAACCTGAAAGTACAAAAAGTTTCCGTTTGCATAGTAATGACATCTGATTATTGGGTTTGTGTCTATTTTTCCCACTACCTGTGTTAGTGTGTGTGTTTTTTTTTCTTAGAAAGAGAGAACAAAACATACCGAGAAATGCTGCTTCAGTCAACATACATCGATCACATCTGGTTTATCAGTAACTTTATGACTAAGCAGCAAACAAAAAATAAGTGGTTATTTACAGAAAGGCACACTGGTTTGATATTTTACCTGTTGTCCATTACAAAAGTAAATTGCTCTTACTTTCATTCATTGTTCTGCAGAACTTGGAAGCTAAAGAAGACGTTGTTTCAGATGTTTCCAGCTGGAAGTTGCCAGAAATTAGGAGATCTTGATCTTTTTTTCATTCTGAGGTAAATATTTGAATTTCTGATATCATTCTGAATTATGTCCCGCTATTAGAGTTCTTTGAAAAGTATGTTCCCTTTCAGATTTATTTTGCTTATATAAATTATTTTATGTCTCATATGTCAATAGATACATTTTAATATCAGATAATGTTAACCTGAAAAAATAAATGACAGCATTCAAATTATGACTCAATTTTTTGAGAGAAAATGACATCAACCTGTATGTTCATGACTCAGTAAATGCCTCCAAAACTCTAATAATTGGTTGTGCAGCCCTTGAAGGCAACAGCTGTATTTTGAAGACAGCCACCCACAGTCTGTATTTTTTGCATCTTTTTTCCCCCCCACAATTCTCAGAAGAAAGAATTGATTTAATTCAACCAGTGGAAAGGCATTCCAAGCATAAACGATATGCTTAATGTCATAACACAACTTCTCAATTCGATTTAAATCAAGACTGTGACTGGGTCACTTCAAAACTGTCAGTTGTTTTAAGTGTATTAGAGAAACTTGCTGGTGTCCTGCTAAATAACCTGAGTGCTTTTGAGGTCACAAATTGATGACTGGAAATTATCCCTAAGAATTTCCAGCTCTACAAATTGATGATTCTATTAATTTTGACAAGTAGCCCGAAGAAGCAAAGTACTCCAAGACCATCACACTACCGCCACCATGTTTTGTTATAGGTATCGGCAGTAACAGGTTCATAATTAATCTCAATATATAAAAATGAAAACGCATTTCAGGAAAATGTTACTGTTATGACCTGATCATGATCACAACACTCCTTAGGATAAGCAATCCTAAGGAGTAATAGAAATGCATACATGGAAAAATACTTTTTCATGGCTCTGTACAACCAACATATTTTTGTTTGGTATTGTTCTGAATGTTTACATGTTTCCTTCAGAGAGTATTTTTATTAAGATGTGGCAAATTTCAAGAAGTAGAAATGATGCAATAATATTTGAAATACTATTTTGTAAATTTTTTCTTACAATTTAGGAAATCTAATTGACGTTAATAAATTACATGTGATTTAAGTATTAAACTAAGATAAAATATTACATGTAAACATCTTGTTTTAAAGGTAGTTTATTGATTGACTTTTTTGAGCTTTATGTCAAGTTATAATCTTATTCCCTGATCAAAACATACCTGTAGCAATGCTTTATTCTTTCAAGTATGTTAGAGAAATCCTTTAATCTCCCTGGCAACCATTCAGGGTGCATTCATGCTTGCTCCCTGTGTTTCCCCCACAGAGCTCCTCCAGACTAGTGGCAGCAACAATTAGCAAACACTTGGTGGAACTGCATGTTTACAGAGCTCATCATGTGACCTGTATCTTGGTGCAATGCTTTAAAGAACAGTGCTAAAGGCTTAATGGAGAAACATTGTTGTGATGAGATGCTGAAGGCAGAGTGGCAAAAAGAGGAGGCGTCTATTAAAAGGACAGATGTCCATATTGTAATGCATTAAAAGCAGCAAATCAGCTGACAGGTAATCATCTTGGTGAAATGTGCTCTGATATTAGATGTTAATACTACACATATCACCAACTGCACAATTGTGGCAACCACTCAAACTTTGTTATATTTCTGTATTAAGAACCTCACTACAGAAGTAACTTCCCTCAGCTTCATCCTCAGTGAGACAGCAGAAAGCCCACCAGGGTTAGAAGCAGAAATTTCCCTCAAACAACCAAACTATATATCCACTTCAAATATTTGATTCCATTTTGAAGAAGCTAGAAGATCCGAACAATTCCAACATACGAGTACACACCCAGGGGAGCCCCAGATGTTCTTAGGCCATCCCTTGACTATTCATAATGTTATGGTTAATTGAGTAAACCCCCACTCAAAATGAGAGAGTAGAAAAGCAAGTACAAATGGCAGGGAATTAGTGAAACACACAAGGGAAGGTGCAAGTAAAGAGCTAAAAGGGTCACGCTGAGATGCCTGATTGCTCCCCTGAGAGGTGGATGAAAGGGTGGAGGGAAACACAATCCAAGCAAATGGAAAAGATTGGATGTTGTCAAATGGGTCATCCTTTAAGATGGTGACTCCATTGTTCCTTTTGTTAGGTGCTTCTATATAGCTTGGGTGAAATGGGATCATGCTGAGTCATACAAAATTCACTTCAACTAATTGGTTTAGTCTTGTTCCCATGTCTACTATAAGTTCATGGGTTAATTTTTACTTTATTAAAGTGCCATCATATTTTCTGTTGCATATTTGTTGGGCCTCTGTTTCAGTATTCAGCCTACGTCTTATTGATTTATGTAAAAAAAAAAAAAAAAAAGAAAAGAAAAACATCTTATTGATTGCAGGTTAACACACTGAGCAGCAGTATTGATTACCACCTTCTTTTATGCCGGAATCAGAACAGTAATTCTTTTATTACTGTCATCTAATTAGCAGCAATATGAATCCATTAATAATTAGAAATGCATTGCTGTCTCTGGGTACATTCTAGGACTTTGCTTTTGAACAACCCAAAATGGAGTAATTTGCTGAATTGTAGCTTCATGCAGAGCTGCAGGTGATCTACAGAATGTGTGTTTGTGTCTCAGAGGAGGGCGGTTAAAGCATGTGTGTTTCAGCAAATACTGTCTGGTAGCAGCTGGGCAGGGCAGGACTCACGGGCCAATGACATCATCCACGAAGAAGGAGAGACAGTCAAAAGCGCACAAGCAATCTCTCCTCAGGCAGCAAGAGGAAGCTGGCCCGCTCAGAGCAGGAGGCGGAGAGCAGCAGCAGCAGCAGCATGAGAGCAGGACAATGTCTGAGAGGCGGAGGTGTACACAGCGCTGAGCTGACTTTGACAAGAATATAGGACGCGGTCTGGGAATTGTTCTTTTGTTTTCCTCTCCTCTTTCATCACTCCATCCCTCCCCCTCCCCACTCCCCACTTCCCTTTCACCTCCATCCTCTGAAAGTTATCCCCTCTCTGAGCTCCTGCTTCAGGCGGCTCCTCCGGGCATGCTCCTTAAGCCAAAGTATGACCGCTTTCGCAACGAGTCTGTAACCTCCTCTGACGACCTGATGCAGAGCTTAACCATGAGCAGCAAAGTCGTGGCCACACCGGGGGTCTCCTCCTCCGCACAGAGTCTCCCCCTGCCTCCTTTGCCTCCTCTGGATCCCAGCGCCAGGTCCTCCTCCTCCTCGGTTGGGGCAGCAGCCCTGGCAGACTCCCCCTGCCTGGATGGGGAGCAGGAGGCCACCACAACCTTCTGCATGCTCATCCCCAAGATGCCTCAGTGGAAGTTCTCCAACTCCTTGCTCAGCAGAAGCCCATCAAGCTCTAGCAAGGACTCAACCAAGACAGCTTCTTCCCAGGCCTCATCTTCATCAACATCAAACAGGACCAGTGGGGCGAGCTCGGCCAGCGGCCCCGTGGCCAGCCTTGCGGCCGTACTTAACTCCTGTGACCCTGTCTGTGTCACCCCCTGTTCTCTGCAGGCCATCCGAGGGCAGCGGGGGGTAACGCATGCTGCAGCCTCTGGAGGTCCGGCAGGACATGGATTTGGGGTCGCAACAGAGGTCATGGTGAGCCCTGGTGTCTCCAGCAGCTCCAGGTCAGGAATGAACCGCAGGACAAGGGTGGAGGGCATGTGGCTGGGGGGAGATGAGCTCCACACCAAGGGCAGCTTCATTCACAAGCCCTCTCAGGGTTGGCTGCACCCAGACAAGAAAATTGTGGGACAAGGAGCTTCTTACATTGTTAGGGTAAGTACATTTAAAAGGAGCATAATTAGTTCTCTGTTAACCATAGTGACACACTCATCTGTTTTTACTTGACAGATATAGACTGAGAACCCATGTATGCACCAAAACTTACGTCCCTAACTATTGCTCTTTGATTTATGTAGATATCAAAAATGTTTGGAGTTTTCAGTTGTGCAGCATTTAATTGAAAAATCAAACATTGGTTGTATTTCTCTTGCTTATTAAGAGAAAATTTGATCATTCTGATGCAAAATAAGTGAGGCATCTATAATTAAAGACTCCCACAGGAAGACGAGAATATCAAGGCTGCAATTTTTTATATATTCACATGCATCCAAATGTGAATGTAAAAAAAACAAACCAAAGCATCTCAACAGCGGGCAGTTTGTTATGCAGCTCATGTGGCAGTGCCGAAGGAATACATAATTTCGTCCAGATAGACGGCTGGGTGCTGCTGGTTAAGAGTGTGTATCATGCTGCACTTACGGTTTCAGGACAGAGAAAAAATAAACCATAAAATTATGTCTCCTGACTGTGGAGGCTATTGTTGTTCAGCCACACTTTTAAATAAATATGGCTTGTGTCACACTGTATTTAAAACAAAAACTGTGTTTGTGGAGCATGTAATCTGCCTTATTGTGAGCTCTGGGTGTGGGAGTGGTTCTCTTTGTGTGGATTTGAGCCTGTTTACATTTATCTATGAAGCGAATAGACTGATTTTATGCATCAATTGTATCTGTTGCTTCTTATAATCATGACTATGAATATGATATGCTGTTGTTTGTTTAGTTAGGGGAGGATAAGGAGAACCTAGGAGATTAAAGAACTTTGTTGTTTTTTTATAAATAATAAATAAAAACAGGGTAGATAAACTAATTATTCGATGGCAAATCTCATAAATCCGAGCTATCTCAATCCTTTTGCGTCTTGTTTTTCATCCGTCTCCCCATGGCGTCCTCCTTGATGACACTTCACCTCTGCTCCCTCCCCCTCCTCCTCAAACTTAATGACGCGGTTCTTGATTACTGCAGTCTGGGGCCCGGGTGCAATTTCTAATGACATTATACCAGCACCATTCATTCTTATATCCAATTACGTTTAATCACAGTTATTTGCATCATGTGACGAGGATGAGGCACTTGGATCAGTAGCAGAAGAGGTCGGAATGTTTTCTAAGAGTGATTTCTCGTCACAAAGCTCTGATCTCCGAGCTTCATGGTGCGGGCTCTTCTTATCTCTGATCGATGTCTCTGTTAATGATCCGTATGTGTTTCTAAGAGTCCAGCATTGTAGGCGTGGCGGCAGTCGTCACAGACGACCTGGAAGAGGCGGTTTAGAAAATAACAGGACTGCTGTGCTCCTGTATGAGCAATTCAGTGGCAAATCCATGCAGGGAGGAGCGTTTCGCTGCATGTATTAGTGTCAGAGGGACAGTGAATTGGTGCTGCACTGTAATCATCTCAGTGAGCACCTCTCTCTCTCTCTCTCCCTCTCTCTCTCTTTCAGTTTGCACATATAGTCAGTCATTCACAGACTTCCAGGCCTCTTCATGGCAGACATATGGATTTCTTAATCATGTGTTTATATCTTCCTGGTGTCCATAAAGACATGTCATGTGTTGTGCCTCCTGTGCGTCTGCTATCCCTGTAAGCCAGATCACTGCAGCAGTCATTAAAACAAGCACTGCAGCTGCCACAGCCGGTGTTATTATCACACATATTAAACTCTTAAGCTTTCATTGCAGTTTTTTAACAGTCATCTTATGCATATTGATCTTCTTTAACGTGACTTGTTAAGTTTCCAAAAAGGAAAAAGAACAAAACATTTTACTCCCGCGCAGAAAATGCCTGGCATTCACTAACTGAGCTCTAAAAAGAGAATCTGTTTGGTGTTTTTCGTCCGTTTAGCCAACATTATGCAACATCTGTTGCGATTCTTGCCTCCAGATACGAAATTGTGACTCCCCGACATGACAAACAACCCAGCTGCCAGAATTTATCTCAAAGAGAGAGGCATCTACCACAGAGTTTGAGAAGAGGATACCAGTTTTATTAAATTCGTAAGGAATGTTTCTTGAGAACCCGGTATCTCTAGTCATGGGATGTATAAGTCAGAGCTTTCGCTCAGAAGGACAACATCCAGTTGATGAGAAAGGGTGGAGGTTGTGAGTGTGGGGGACGTTGCATCAGCAGATGAAATGGAAATGAAAAAAAAGGGACAAATTTCTTGATGGAAGACTTCCCTCAAGCCTAAATCTGATTAGAAAGCTTATTAAGCTCATTTAGACTCAGAGGTCCTCTCTCTGTCTCTTAATCTCTGCTGCATGGTTGCTTCTTGCAAAGAACTATCCTCCAAATACGCCGCCTTGTAAAAGTTTCCTACCCATTGAAGTTTTCCGCATCTTGTAATGTCGCATCCACAAATTTCAGTGTATGTTGTTGGGATTTTATATCTTAAAACACAGTGAAATGAAAAGGACAGTTCCCAAACTGTTGCTCTGATTGTGTGTTTATGGCCTTTTCTCAGTCCCAAACCTTTTGCTACCTCAAACAGGCTTTTCTTCAATGACTATCCTCTATTGTACTTTTTACTGACCATGTTTCACCATGTTCACTTGCAAGTTTTTCTCCTTGCCTTGCATTTGGTCAAAAGTTTCAATCATGATATCATAAGACCAGAGAATCTTCTTGAAAATGCTTGTCGTGTCTCCTTCATGCCTTGTTACAAACTATAATTTGCACTACTAACAGCTTCAGTAAAAATGTTGAAGAGTTGTAGAGTGTTGTCTTGTTGACAGATTCTCCCTTCTGGTTTCTGGATCTCTGCAGCTCCTCCAGAGTTACTATGGGCCTCTTGGCTGCTTCTCTGATCAAGTCTTTCCTGGCACAGCCTACAGCCTAGGTGGACAGCCTTTTGGTTTGTAGTTGTGTCTTTCTATTTATGTAAAGGTACTGTGATTTGTGAGATCTATGAAGCTTCAGTTATTGTTTAAAACCCAAAGCTTCCTACTTATTTACTGACTTGTCTGCTGCCTTCCCTGATTTTCATGCTGCTGTTTGTTCATTATTTTTTTTTCTAACAAAACAGTTGAATTTGTGCTGAGATCAAATTGAACTCTTATTTGACAATTTAATTGAAGTACAGGTATGAATGCAAATGTATGCCACATTTTTCTGATTTTTATTCATTAAATACATTTGAAAACCATGCTTTTCTTTCATCTCTATGCAATAAATATATGGAAACAATAATTCTACTGTATTGAAGTTTGGATCTATAACTTCAGAAAACGTGAAAATCTTTTCAAGGCAAAGCTAAAAATGTCATGGAGCCTTCTGTAAAGTTTATCTCATTTGCTTGACAAACTGAAAAGCATCACTTTTGAGAGCACTTCTCATAAGAGGTGTTAAAAGTGTTACAAACTTCTCAACACTAAGCTAACCAGACAGAAGACAAAACATGAGAGTTTTCTGGATCTAAACTTTGTGACACTTCCGTACCCTGATCCAATTATTCATTTGTAGCAGGAACAAACGACCAGATATTGAGAAGTGTTCCTGGAGATGATGTTGCCCTATTAATTTTAACAGAAAAAACAGAAATATCCCGGATTTTATTCTATGACAGGTTTTTCTTTTTCTCACATCGATGCAGACAAGACGACACTCTCACATGAACTGCCTGCGGGATCAAACACCCTCACACATAATCCTTCCCCCCCAGAGGGTTCAGAAACTGCAGTTTGTACGCAGTCTGGAGCTGAGTGATGCTAATCTAGTCAAGGTGTCATTAGCACCCTGATCTGACAGCCATTATTGCCACCCTGTGCTAGGCAGTTGCTTCCATGTGTAGTCTGCGGATGTAACAAAATATAAATGGGAATTATCACGTTTAACAATGGAAAATATAATAGCCTAAAAAGCATGGTGCATCAGAAACCCTATTAAGTGCAGAATAGGGTCATAATCAGAATGAAAATAAGTTTCCATGCATATTGCAGAGCCCCATCTGATTTGATGTTTTTCCTCCGTAGTATATGGGTTGCATTGAAGTGCTGAAGTCGATGCGTTCCCTGGACTTCAACACACGGACTCAGGTGACAAGGTAAGTCAGCAACCGTCTTTACTGCCTGTGGTGAGTCAGCAGAATTTGATCCAATAAGCATAGTGTTTATTTACATGTCCACGGCTGTAATATTAAAGCGCTTGCTTATCTAGACGAATGTTTAGATGCTTAATTAAATCATTTAATTTGATTAGTAATTGGTGGATGCATCAAAGATGGTTCCAATTCCTCCAGTTTAGACTCTTGGCATGCTAGTTTCTTTTTGTTTGCCATTTTTGTTTTCCTGTGCTGCATGTGATGTTGTTGTCATCCTCAACCCCAAAGAAGCAGTGCGCTCCTCTTCCCTCCTCCTCCCCATTTCTCCTCCCCTCCGCCTCTCACCCTCCTATCTCTCCTCTACAATCGATCATCAGTAATCTGAGCCTACCAATGCTTCCAACGCTTAAGTGCAGGGGGAGAGGAGGAGAAGAAGGATGCAGCAGAGATGGAGTGATAGAGGAGGGGATCTATAATTGATGATGTTTCCTAATGACAGTGGAAAGCTGCAGTGGGCTCTGTGAACGCACCCTGTTGGGTAATGTGTTTGGCTGCAAGTTCTTGAGAGGGAGGAGGTTATGGGTGTGCAAAACAAAACAACAAAAGAAAAACAAAGGGATGAACCATGCTGAGGCTATTCTGGCTGCTTATGTTTTGGACATATTTTATTTTTGGTTTTGCTCCTCCTAAATTTGATTTGGTTGTTCAGATAAATTCAGGTATTTATTTATTTATTTATTTTTTACCTCTTGGTCAACATTAGTGACAAACAGCATCATGAAGACAGAGGAAGAAACCAGACAGGGATATATTAGGGTTAGGTTATAGAACTGTTATATTTACGTGTCAGATTTGCCCAGGTCAACTATAAACTTAAATCCAACTGAAAATTTGTGACAAGACTTTATTTGTATTGTTACAGATACAAATACTAAGCAATCTAGGGAGAAAAAATAGGTCTATATATGCAAATTTGGCATTGATCAGTTTTCAAAACAACTCCTAGTATAATTGGAAGGTGGTTCAGTCAATTCATGACAGACTTTTCAGATTCTTTTATTTTTCTTCTACTTTTTCTTCCATGAGATCAACACTCGTTTGTGTTGTTGTTCTATCTATGTAAAAAACAACAACATATATATATATATATATATATATATATATATATATATATATATATATATATATATATATATATATATATATATATATATATATAATAAGTTTGCAGTTAATAATGTGACAAAATCTCAAAAAGTTCAATTGGCATTAATATTTTTGCAAGACCCAGTGGGTTGACCTACTTCTCTTTTCTCCCAATTTGAGGACTACAACTACCACTTCATGAAAATGAAAAAAACAACAAACAAACAAGCATTTAGACACCAGGACTAACAGGGAAAGACCAGCACTGCAGACAATAACAACAACTTCTCCTCCTTTCTCTCCACCTCCCTCTGCTTTCATCAGCATGAGTCATTTGAACGTGGTGGTGTTTTTCAAAAATCCCTGAGAAGACCTTTACCCGAGACAAGGCCCAGGACGCTTGCTTTTTAAATATTTATGAGCTACTCGATAGCCGGGCCTGTTGATTCCTGTCCCTACCGTCCCATGGCGGACAGACAGCAAGCTACACTCTCAAGTCGACATTATTTTTCACCCCCACCATCAGACACACAGTGAAATAAGGCTTTCAGTAGCCATATTGAGCTGCAACCATTCCCACAGGTTGCAGCTGTTTCACTGCAGAGTTCGAAGAATCCTGGAGAGTGCAAAACACATGTAAACACAAGCATTGTATTTTTTTTCCCCATCACACTGTGATTATTTTTTTTCTGTAATTTAGCAGCAAATCTCAGCTTTCACATAACATCTTGTAGATCAGTTTGTGAACAACAGGCCAGACAAAAAACAGTTGTTCACTACTGAATTGTAACAAACTTGGGACACAGCACATCTGACTAAAATTTGCCCTAATTTGACCAATTTCTTGTAAATCATTAAAGAACTTTAGTTTACTTCAGAAGGCTTGTTTATGACAAGTGACCAATGTCTTTTTCATTAGTGTGACCAGCATCCTCTCCACATTTTCTTAATCAGGGAAGCCATCAACAGGCTTTGTGAGGCAGTGCCTGGTGGAAAGGGGGCTTGGAGGAAGAAGGTCAGTAGTAATATTTTACCGTGAGTCTTTACTTCAGTGTCATATGCTTATAATATGTATTATTTTACCAAAACATTTATGGTTTGAATTAACTCAATTGACATGTGTATGTGGTTGCATTCATTTTCCTTTCATTTAGACTCCAAACAAAGCTCTACAGTCAGTCATGGGAAAGAGTAACCTGCGATTTGCGGGCATGAACATTGCTGTCAACATTTCTGTAGATGGCCTTGGACTTCTCGTCCCAACTACACGACAGGTGAAATGATCTACTACTACAACCTGAAAGACTAAATTAGGCAGCTCTCCTTATTTAGGGTTGGTGCCTTTCAAGATCTGTGTCTTGAAAAAAACATGAACAAAAAGACGTCAGGAGTCTGCAATTTCTACAGCCTGACCATGCACCCCAAAGCAACCACAAGAAAGCAGTGGAAAGACTGTATTGCATTAAATCCTTCTGAATCCAAGAATACCACTGGAACCCTGCATTTCTGGAGAAATTGAAACAAATATCCCTCCTGGCCAGCATTCTCAAAACATTCTTCAAAGCTGTTGTTGAGAGTGTGTTCACTGACTACATCTCAGCGTGGTACTTCAGCTGCAATGTAGAGTATGCAGATAGTGGATAGCTGAGGGGAGGACATTGAAGGTTTTCTTAACATTTCTCCCAGATCTGTATGAGCAGCTGCAGAAACAGAGCTCTGACTCCTTACTTGGGCTTTATCCAACAACTGCTGTTGTCAGGCAAACTCTCTTGAAGCGTCAAAAACAAAACCACCAGAGCACAGTTTTCTGACTCAAGCAGTTGAAAGCTAAACATTACAATAATGTTCTTCTTTTTTATTACAGTTATTTCATGTCTTTATCAATTTGTGTGCAGTGGAATAAAAATCAATCAATTTAACTAACTGACTGACTGATCTTTGGTCTTGCTGAACCATTGATTTCCAATCAAGTTCTTAATATTTTAAAAGCATATTTGACTGCACATTGTTTTAGATTGTAATATATGGTCTCATGCCACTCATGTTCACACATGTGTATCTTGCAGGTGATTGCACACCATCCCATGCAGTCCATCTCATTTGCCTCTGGAGGAGACACAGTGAGTGTGGCATTTTCAACTCCAAGACTCTCCATGCCTGCTGTTTGGAACTGACATTTTCACCTTAACATATCCATATCAATCATATTTGACTGGTTTCCAATTTTGTGGCCCAAAAATCAATGAGTTCACTTAAGAACCTCTGATTTATGTTTTTGTCTAATTGAACTTTCCATTTTCTTTGCTGCAGGACACGCCAGACTATGTTGCATATGTAGCCAAAGATCCAGTAAATCAAAGGGGTAAGGTTTATTTTTCTGTACACAAAGTGTTTATACTCCTTTAAATTTGTATTTATTGGTATTTAAATCATCCGCATTGCATTTTACATATACCGATGATGTGTGTGGGTACTTGTTTTTCTGTATGGGTTCATAACCCTTTGGATTTTTTTTTACAGCATGTCACATCCTGGAGTGTTCGGATGGCTTAGCCCAGAGTGTCATCAGTACCATTGGCCAGGCTTTTGAGCTGCAGTTCAAACAGTATCTACACAGCCCTCCTAAAACCATGTCTTCTGTTGAGAGGTAACACAGTCCTGAAACAACAGCATACATGAAGTCATAAATAAACAACAAAAACACAGAAAAGTGTTCAATATTAGGCTTTTCATGCCTTTATGGTACCTCCTAGATAAGCATATTGGTTACATAAGAAAACCTGATCTACTGTTGATCTTTAAATACTTTTGTTCTTGTGTTACTTCCATATTTGTTTGAAACTTTGAATGCTTTGATATTCTCACACTTTTACCAGTTATCAATTATTGAATGACACTTTTGCAAAAACAGGTGAAACTCAAGCTTAGCTTTATCTTCTGTTCCGGTTTCAAATAAACATCCACCTTCCTGTGACCAGCAGCAAGTCTTCATAGTTTTGTAGATCACATTTGGACATGCGCAACTGTAAACTGAGATTTCCTTTTCTAATTAATTATGGCAAGGAGTTGAACTGGAAAGCATTTAGAAAATCTTAGGTTATTCACTGTGACATTTAGCCATGAATTCAGAGAATGTGCATTTGACTTTAGGCCTGCCAGGACAGAGGAGCCGGTGTGGGGTGAGGACGAAGATGCATCAGAGCATGATTACTACAACAGCATTCCTGGGAAGGAGCCTCCTGTTGGGGGAGTCGTGGACTCTAGGCTGAGGCCCACTGGGGCCCTGCTGGGTCACATCCACACCCAGCCACAGAGCAAGACAGCAACTCAGGTGAGCATCATGAATGTGGAAACGGTATCCTGTCAGGTCAGACTGTGGATTCTTAATGTGCATTTGTGACTCTTTGCTAAGAACAGTGCAGGTGAAATTCTGTCTTTATGCACCTGAAATGTTGACATGATAACTTATATGTAGTATTGATATATTTCAGCTAAATTTTATTTTTATTGCGCTTTAACACTGAAGCTGCCAGCAGTGAAATGGCTGTCTTGCTATCCAATATTTTCATAGATGTTATATAAAGTACAGCTGACCTTCATAATCTGCTATATAATTAAAGTTTATTACCAAAAATGCCATGTTTGATTTAGTATCCCTCAAGCTGGGTCTCTGCTGCTTCCCCAGATTAAAACATAATTATACCACACAAACTCCCAATTTATGCGCTATAATTCATCTTGATGTGCCTGCACCATAACTATTATAGACATGATTGCATAAAAAGAACCTGTATGCCTCTCGCTATGCTGCCTGTTCACTGTATACAGATGTACTGAAGGAAATATTTAAATTGTGTTTCTGAACTGCATTGAAGGGAGAAGAGATAACTGTGTGTTTAAAATGTGTTGCTGTGTTGACAGATGGGCTCTCAGGCCAGGAGAGAGCAGGGATCTTATCCACTCGGTCAACTCTGTTATGAGCTTCATTGGGACACTGAGACCACCTGTGGCTCAGGTGAGACACCTTGTGGCCGAAAGTGGCTATTGCTGGTTTAAAAAAAAAAACATACCTCCTGATAAAATTCTTCTGCTTTGCTTCCTCGCTCCTCCCCTCACACTTACATGCTTAAGATCATGAAGCAGTTTTTTAAAACAAATAAAAGCTCAAGTAAGTGCTAAAAGACATTTTCAATTATAATTGTATCAAGAGAAAAATGCCATCCAATCAAAATTGGCCTCATGTGAAAAAGTATTTTTCACCTGATGACACCTATTGACTTAGTGGAAACAATCTCCATAAAGTGTTTGCAATAAACGAGCTAGACCACATGACCTTTTGTTGCTGTGGAGGTTCACTGCTGTTTTCAAAAACGTCTTATTTCTGTCATAATCAGTAAGTATTTGTATTTTTGGGTTCTCACTTTGTACTTGTTCATTGCTCCATGGTGAATTTATTTATTTGTATTCAATTTCTTTGTTTTTTCTTACACTCTTTTTGTACTAGTATTTAGTTTTTGATGAGTTTGATCCTTTTGCGTGTAATTCAACAATGAAATATGCAAAGAGGTTAATCCTTTTACACTGCGCTTTATACATCTATAGTTTTTGGATATTTGAAATCAAGGAGGGTAGATTGGCCTTTTCTACCCTCCTTGATTTCTAGGCCAGTTATTTAAAAAAATAGGTCTGTGTTATTCTTGTATGAAAAACAACTTAGGTACACATTAATCAACTCTGTTGGAGAGTCAAATTTTAAAACTGTAGTGACAATAAAAAGAGGTTATAAAACATTCTTAAAGTGTTATTTTAATTGGATTCTGTCTCATTTCTTGCATTAGATGGTTACTTGTGTGCTGATGGTCAGCCACCAGGCAGCAAGGACTATGAAGAGCACCAATACGTAAACACACAAAGTCTGGAAAACCTTGAATCTTTTACACATGGAGCAGATGGACATAAAGGGGCTAGACCACATGATAGTCCCAAAAAGGACCTCTTTGATATGAGTGAGTCTTGAGATTTACCCCAGACATACCTAAGGAAGCGGAAAAATGGAAGCAGAACAGCTAAACTGAGCAACTAAATTTCTTGTGCCTCCGCAGGGCCCTTTGAGGATGCCCTAAAGCTCCATGAGGCATGTGGAGGAGCTGCTGGCTCCGGTGTATTAGTGGGTTCTGGTTCTCAGGTTGGAGGTGTTCGAAACATTGAGGATCAGTGGCCCAGCCCGCCTAGACGCAGAGCCCCCGTGGCCCCAAACGAGGAGCAGCTACGCCGGGAAACGTGGTACCACAGTCGCATGAGCCGGAGAGACGCAGAGAAACTCCTGGTTCGAGATGGGGACTTCCTGGTCCGTGAGAGCACCACCAACCCAGGGCAGTACGTGCTAACAGGCATGCACTGTGGCCTGCCCAAACACCTGCTGCTAGTGGACCCGGAAGGCGTAGTGAGTCTGTTTCAATTTAAACCAGACTTAAAGTAAAACAATCTGGTTTTTTGACACCAACATTTTGTTTGCATAATGTAAAACTTGTTTATCCCCATCCAGGTCCGAACTAAAGACATGTTGTTTGAGAGTATAAGCCATCTTATAACGTACCACTTGAAGAACGAGCTGCCAATTGTTGCAGCAGAAAGTGAGCTTCATCTTAAACAAGCTGTCCGCAGGAAACAATGAACCACCCGGGTTGTTGTGAGATGGTAAGCTACAGCGTGTGTTCATTTTAAAAGTAGAGATCATTATTTGAATGATTTTACATGCAAATATTAAAAGTTGCTCGCAGCTGACACTCACTGTTTTGAGTGTCAGATTTTTAATCAGATAGATTAAAAATGCAATCATTTTAGTGTGTTAAGAAAGAAGTTATTATCACTGGAGATTTTTAACAACCACAAACTTTGGTAAAAGTTTTATATGATGGAGCCACACAAATTCACCTATAATTTTTAAGTTTAAGAAAATACTTTTCACTGTATTATTTGCCTGTTATTTGCTGCTGGAGTTCAGGCTCAGTCAATTTCAATGGAGCGTATCTGTGATCCAGACATTTCCAGTTTTGCCACAGATTCTCAGTGATACTGAGGTGTGGATGTTGACTGTGCCATTCTAATAAATATGCTATGGTCTAAATATTATCATTGTAGTTCTAGTTTATTTTTTAGGCTCCTTATTCTGCTGGGCTTGGAAAATGAACCTCTGCTTCAGTCACAAATCTTTTGCATATAGTTTTTTCTGATTTTAATTAAAAAAAAAAAAGAAGACAACCAAATATTCTTTTTCCACATCAAAGTTTGGTGGTATGAAAAGTTTTAAGACACTGCAGCCACTAAAGGACTATGGAGGTGTCATCTTAATGACATATATTAGTTGAAGTTTACATATATGTTCTATTAATTGGAAATATATTTGATTCACACAATGTTATTTTTCAGTAACCATAATATGTTTCTCTCTATCCTTTTTCACAGCTGAATTTGTCTGGACTTGGGCAACATTTGGCCTAAAAACTGAACAGATGATTTTTTTCATCCTGAAAGAATACATACTTTTTTTTTTGCCTTGAACATACTTCCCATGAAAGTGCAGGATCAAGTCAAGCTCCTTCTTTCCTCTGGCTGTCAGCAGCCAGAATCCAGAATGCCACATCATGAAAAATCTAACAAGTGCTTCCAGTAATCCACGACCACATTGTTACCGGCCATTCTTTCTGCCAACAATGAACATGACCAGAGGAAAAACTGAAACCGATTATCTGTCACAGATATCAACTCAAAACATGTCAGCCTTCAGATTGAGAAGCAAATTTCTTCAAATATGCAGGAAATGACTGCAGGTTTGTGTGTCTGAGAGGCAACAGAAGGCCGTCTCTCTCTTCGGGATGCAAAGACTTACTATTTCTACATCGGTCTCCAGTATCTGAGAAGGCACAAAGGAGAAACACTGATGACGGTGTTCGATGTATGAGCTGCACACGCTTTTGTACTTTATATTTTGCCACAGTATCAGCAAAACATGAAGCTTTTCCACATTTTCGTCAATTAACGTATGTGGTCTTGTTTGCTGTTTGTAAGGAGTTGATCGCAGTGCAATGAACTTACACAAGCCTGTGACCGGGCAGACTTTCCTCTGCGATGAATCCTCTATCCTGAATCAAAGCTAATGTCTTCATTTCTAACTAACTGTGCAGGTACATCTCAATGAATTGGAATATCAGAAATAATTCAAGTCTTTAATACAATTAAGAGTGAAATTTATATATTCCATAGATACATCATCATCACACAGTGACATCTCCTAAGTATTTATTTATGTTAATCTTATTGATTATGTTACGTCTACTTAAGTCCCAAAAATATGCTTCCTAGAAAAACAATCTAAATATTGCCAATTTTTAAAAAAAGAATAAACTACAACCAAGAAATGTTATATTGCGACCATGTTGTGCCCTCTAGAATGATGGGATAGGTGAGAACACTGACATGACCAGCAGAAGAATAAGTCACAAAAAGTCACTGCTAAAGAAGCTGGCTGTTCATAAAGTGCCGTATCCAAGCACATTATTGGAGACTTCAGTGAAGGTAACACACAGGTGAATCACAGGACGGTGAATATGACTCGTATTCAACTGGCTCCTGCAACAGTGACATACGAAGGGTCATACTAAAGAGGAAAGGCACTGGACTGTCGGCTCAGTGGTCCAAAGTCATCATTTTAGATGAAAGTAAATTGTTATTTTCATTTGAAAATGTAGGCTCCAGAGTCTGGAGGAAGAGTAAAGAGACACAGCCATCAGCTGGTGTTGCTCCACTGTGTTTTTTCAAGTTCAAAATCAACGCAGCCGTCCGCCTAGCAAGGAATTTTAGTCTCCCCTCCACTTATAAAGTGTAAAGAAATGCTGATTTCATTTTTCAGGAGAATTTGGCAACTGCGTACAAAAGTACCAATACCTGCTTTAGTGACCGTGGTAACACTTGGCTTATTTGGGCAGACAACTCTCCTTACCTGAACCTCAGAGAAAGGTTCAAGTCAGGAGTCTCACTTTTTGAATTGAATAACTAAATTAAAGTTTTAATTCCATTACTTGTTGAGAGGTACCTGCATGTATTTTTCCCAGTGCCTTAATAACTACACTGGCAGGCATTTGTCTCAGTGTACATAATGTGCAGTTCTGCACTCATTGCAAAAAGACTACATTTTCTTCTCATGCCAATGAAAAGATAAACAAAGTTCAGGATAATTAAGCTGTTATATTTGTAAACAGTGATGTAAGCTGCTCCCGTTTTCTGCTAGATAATCACAGCTGATTTTATTATTAAGCTTTTTTGTGAGATCCTCAGAAAAGATGTCCTTTCCTTTCACCGATTGCTTTTCTCTGCAGTGATTGGACGTAAAATAGTGATGAGGATGTGCAATCCCTCCGTTTGTCCCGGCTCAGGAAAATTTGGTACTTTAATGATCATGTCTGTGTCCACGTCTTTGTATTTAAGCTAAACAGGTTTGTGTTGTTTCTTCAGAGCACACCAGGAAGTGGCTCATTACATCTGTGTCACTGTAGTACTTTTTGGAGTTGTTTTTTTTTTCTTTTTTTCTGTGTACCAAGGACAAGTAAATTACATAAATCTTTTGATGAGATCAGTATGTGAATGTTTGTTAATGCTTTTTCCTCCCTTTTGCGTTCTCAGGAATTTCTCAAAAAAAAAAAAAATCCCTTCTTCACTATTATGTTTAGTCAATAAAATAAATTATGAAAGGGTACAGATAAAATAGTGTGTTTTTAATCGTGACTCCTTAACTTTCTTCTTTGACGGATCTTTGTCCCCACCTGCTAGCATCAATAAAATATTATCTAGAGGGGAATGGTCAAACATTGCTCTTTATTGAGTCTTGACCTATGGAGACCAAATGCTGTTTTACAAAATATTATTACTGGGAAAATTAACTACTTCTGTCAAATTTTGCTCACCTGCAAAAACAATTTACTTTAATGCGCTCAAATTAGGCTGTTGTTCTCACTTTCAGTGAGAAATTATCCTGCTGAGTCAAAAGATTAATTTGTTTTATTCTAGTTTTAGATCAACTAAAAATAGATGGTTTTCCTTTCATTTTTAAACTTTTAAACAAAGGACCAACAGAAAACAGAAATTGCTGTATATTTGTTAAATGGAAGGAAAGATAGTTTTCAAAACTGAAGCTAAATACTTAGTAAACCATGTATGTACATTAATGTACATGAATGTTTTCAACCTCTTTGAGTGAGTACTTAGGAGAACACATTTTGCTGATTCTACAGCTGGACGTCCTTTGAGATATCTTTGTACTATCTTAACAAAAGCAGATAAAGCTTTTTTTTTTTTTTTGCCAAATTGGTGGCTAATCATCTATGGACAGCAATTCACAAGTTATACTGCTACTCTTCAATTAGATTAAGGTATGAACTTTGACCAGGCCAGTTGAACACCAGCTGAAAGGTGGACCTCTGCCTCTAAAGTTTTTGACTAAAATGTGAAAAATAATCACAAGAACAAGCAATTGTTTTCCTTTTTATTATAACAACTTTATGTAAAATCAGCAGACTTGTCACACGATCAGTGCTTGATTCTGTCATCAAAATACCCACTCTGTATCTACATATCTCCTATCATTAGGTTCTTACAAATAAAAAAACAAAGCAGAGGCACTCCCCATTCAATTCTCTTGAATATTACTAATCAGGCAAGAATTAGGGGTGTTGTATGAGGTACATAATATACACATGCAGCGATGTCGGACCACGGATTGGCTGTGTTTGGCATTCTAACTTAGGTCTCCCTTATCTTGGTCCTACAGATTAGAGTGATGGAGCTTTACATGTGTGGTGCCAGTTGCAGAGACTTCAGTGTCCCTGCTGTGACATCCTCAGGATCTGAAGCAGCAGACATTGCACCTCTTCATCCATGCGACCCTGTTGAGCAAAGTGCCAAAGCCCATTACCAGGGAAAGATTATGCTGCAAATCTCTGGTCTGATTGCAGCAACATTAAACCAATTCATTTCTTAATTTCTTCCACATTAGGAACTTTAATTGAACTCTTTCAGACACTGGCCAACCGAGGCATAGCAATAGTTGTTAGTTAAAACTACAAACTAAGTCAGCTCAGGTAATTTTTAAAGTCCAAGAAGTTCTCTCCTACCTTCATGTATAAACAGCATAAGGCTAATCAACAGATTAAGCTGATTTCATCTTGAGTCTCGCGTGACTTTTTTTATTGATTAATGCAATGTATTTATCTGGCCAAACTGTAATTCAACAAGCCGAGTTGCTCATAATCTATTTTGTCCTCCCTTTTTTTGCAGTCCAAACATAATTTGATTAGTTCGGGAATAAAACCAAATATGAAAGCTTTGGATGAATTAACCAGATGAAATGAACCACATATACTCAACTAACCGCATGTAACATACACTAAACAGTGAGACAGTTTTACATTTACTTTGTGCATATAAATGTATTCTTAACTGACCTGTACAGCAGCTAGTAAATGTGAGCGGTACACAGCCACCACCTGTTTGTGCTTTCTCTCCCAGTCCTGGAAAAAAGATCACTTCAGAGTTAAGAGCCAGAATAACTGATACTCAATGTACCGATTAGAGATGTTCTAATCTGATCCGACCCAAATCTATTTCTAATTATCTGTACTGGGAGTACTTGACTAAACTCAATGTCTTGATCCGGGTTGTTGTTGTATTGTCTGTGCTATTGTGTCTGCCACACCCCTCACAATCTATGTAGCAATTTGTGCATGTAAAATCACAACCCACAGTCTTACTACTCAGGTATTTTAATTTGCTGACCCAACAAGTCTAGGTTTTAACTCAAAAGGCCTACAAGGGCTTTTACAGTGAAAGAGAAAGTCTATTGTCTGCAATAGTTCCCTGTAAGCCTGCATGATCTCACCTGAGAGCAATTAAAATTTTCCTACATTCAAGACAAAGTGTTTTTTTTTTTGCTACATTTGAGTACGATTAACTTGAACAGCACTAAAATATGAGTTAATTTATCAACAGGTTTTTTCAGGATTAGCTCAGCAGTCTAGCAAGCTCCTCTGCGAGAAAACATTAACAGCAGAAGCATGACGTGTGTATTCAGGAACAATATTTCTCACCTAAATTAGATTCTGTCAAAGGTAATCACTGACCTGCTTTTACACATAGGAGCTTCAATGAAATCCAATTCTTAATCTGTAGGATTTATTATGATATTGGTCCCACCCTTTGCAGATTCTTTGTCAAGGTTTTGCTCATTGTTTAAAAAGGCTTTTCTCACAGTTCTTTCAGAAGTGCATTTGTGAAGTCAGACTGATGTTGGAAGAAAAGCATTCATTGTACAGGTGTTGAGTCAGGATAGAATCCATTCTTCTACACCCTACTGGCTTATCCGTGCTCTTATTGCTGTTGCTTTATGAACTGGTGTACTTTCATATCAAAACATGTTTGGCATCATCGCCAAACTGTTCTGACAAAGTTAGGAGCTTGAAACTAACCAAAATGTCTTTGCAACAAGAGGTAATTCAATCTGAACTAAGGGACTGAGTCCAACACCTAAAATTATTCCCACACTGCAATTCTCTCTGCACCTAACTTTACACCTGACACAATGCAGTGCGGTAAGTGCAGTTTTCCTGACGACTACCACACCCAGATTTATGGTGCGGCTTCAGCCAGGCCCACTGCCTTCCTCTGCCAGTGAATCTACTTTTTTTTTTTACATCTGTGACCTGATAGAAGCACCTAAATGTGATCATAGTGTGTGGAAACCGAATACCTTTGGCATTACTGTATGCTTAGAAACAACAGACTGTCCTGCACAAACTTCTGCTGAATCAAAACATTGATTGCTATTATTATGCATTGGATTAATAAATGTGCAAAAACATTTAGATTCATCAATACATCCCAAAACCTGATACCACAAATATTTATGGTATTCAGATTTTTCACATTAAACTACTTCTGTCAAATTTTGCTCACCTGCAGCTGTTGGGTGAGTATGCCAATCCTGTTCTGCAGCGCCACCTGCTGGCCTGGATTGCCATGTTGCGTGGAAGAGGAAGAGGGAGGGGATGGGCTTCCGAAAGGAGGGGAAAGAGCTCCCAAGGCCTCTTTGAGCCGGAAGACTTCTTTGGAAAGCTCTGTTATCTAACCAAATGTCAGACAAGACGGGATGAACTATGACATCTCAAAACCTCAACGACGCTTGTTGTTGTTAAAACCGGAGCTGTACTCTGTTACCTTACGGTCCTTCTCTTTGACTAGACCCTGGGACTCTTGGATGTCTTTGTGAAGCTCCTGGATGTGGCTGGACCGGGATTGTAGCTCAGAGAGCTGCTTCTGCACTGTCACCATCTGGGATTCTGCCGCCTGCCTTTCACTTTTGTGAAATAGCGCCTCCCTCTGCACCTGGAATACCTAGACGAGATTGACAACAACTGTTATACGAAGAAAAATGATTGTCCCTTTAGTTTTCCTTGGTCTTCAGGGTGAGGTTGATTCAATAATTTTGTCAAACAAACACAGAACAGCCAGACTGACAGGTTTCAGATTAAATTACATGTATCAGAAACTGAATAGTGCTAATTCAACACTACTTTTAAATCATCAATGAGCACAAAGAAGAATCACTGCAACAATGATAGGCAATGAAGAGGAAAAGCATTAGATGAATAATGTAAAGGGTAGACAGAGGCCCCAAAGGAAGGACGGCTCAGTATGTCGCAGAAACAATAACATCGACTTTGGCTTTAGAGGCCACTGAAGAGGACTGACAACAGACCCAGTGACATGCTGAACAAACCTCTGTGCAGGTCTTCTCGTGTTTCCTGGTGAGGTCGTTGAACCGTGCTGTGATGGCATTGATCTCCGCCTGTAGAGAGAGGCGCAGCGCCTCGTGGTCTTCCTTGGAGATCAGACCCTGTTCTGCAGCCTTCTGCGACTTCAGCTCTCTCAGCTCTGTCTCTTTCTCACTGAGAGCCTCCTGAGCCGCTGCTGCACTGCTCTCACTGGCCTGCAGGGCGCGCTGGAGCTCTTCCTTTCAAACAAGGAAGCACAAGTTATATCTCAAAGTCTCTAAAAATCTGTCCAGGGGAGATTTGAATATTATAAACAAACTGAAGCAAAAAGGGGGAAAAATTGTAGAATTTACTTGCATTACATTTTTTATTTCTTTCTTCTCTGCACTGACCTTAACCTTCTCATGCTCCTCTTTGGTAATGGTGTCCTGTTTGCCCTGCAGCTCTGTCTGGAGTTTAGCTGCCTGCTCCTCAGCTTGAGCTCTTAATGTTTTCTCCTCTTGGAGCTCCTGCAGAGTTTGAGCAAGCTGCTCAGACACTGCAGACAGTGCCTCTTTATGCTTTGAAAGTGGCACACTGTCTTTCAGCTGCAAGGCGTCCTGCGCACGGCCCTCCTGCTCAGCACACAGGCAGTCCAGAGCCTGGGCTGCTTCCTGCCTGGCCAGCTCCAGTTCCTCCTTCATTGCTGCTAAAGTTCGCCTGGATCGATCTGACCAGACACAGTTGGAAGACAACGGAAGCTAAATTGTCAGTAAATACAAACGCGCCCAATCCAGAAAAGTAAGCCAACCTGATATGACGGAGGGCTCTGAGCTCTCTGAATGGCCCTCCTCCTCCTCTTCTTCTTCCTCTTCATCTCCACGTTGAGGAGTTCTGAGTCTCTCCAGCTCCAGGAGGGCATCATTGAGCCGTCGAGCCACGTCTGCTCTCTCCCTGGCAAGTTGTTCACACTGGAGTCCAAGGGTCATCTGAACCTCGTCTAGCT